CTCCGCCGCGGTACGCGGGACGACAGATTTAATCATTGTATGCAAGTACCTCAGTTTGTATAGAAAACACGCGCGGCACAACACACTGACAACGCGTCTGCGCGCGGGATTTTTTATATGAAATCGCGCTTTTTGATAACCGCCGTAGCTTAGGCGCAGACCACCGACTTTAGTTGGCGAATAGTTGAGTCGGGCTGTTGATCATTATGGAGATGTATGAAAGTGCGCACATTACACCGATTTGGTATCGGCCTATTCTTCATACAAATTAGAATCGGGCCCAACTATCGGCCGACTAAAAAGTCGGTGGTCTGCGCCTAAGCTTAACTGAGGACAATGGCTCTCAAACACGAAATTATTTTATTATTATTTAGGTAATAAATAAAAGAGTGGATCTGAGACGTGGTCGCTTACTATGGGCCTCATAAGAAGGCTCAAGGTCACCCAAAGAGCGATGGAGCGTGCTATGCTCGGAGTTTCCCTGCGTGATCGAATCAGAAATGAGGAGATCCGTAGGAGAACCAGAGTGACTGACATAGCCCGCAGAATCGCTAAAATCAAGTGGCAGTGGGCGGGGCACATAGCTCGAAGAGCTGATGGCCGCTGGGGCAGGAAAGTTCTAGAGTGGCGACCACGAGCTGGAAGACGTAGCGTGGACAGGCCTCCCACTAGGTGGACCGACGATCTGGTGAAGGTCGCGGGAGGTACCTACCTGGATGCAAGCGGCGCAAGACCGGTCTTTGTGGAAATCCTTGGGGGAGGCTTTTGTCCAGCAGTGGACGTCTTTCGGCTGAAACGAACGAACGAACGAAATACATGAGTACTTACAGCTTAACGTTTCGCAGTGTTGCTACAGCCGTGGTCACAAGCAGACTAGCGGCTCGCGGCAGTCGCGGCATTGTTGTGGCTTGAAGTTCTTCGGCTACCCTCAAATTGACACTTTTTACATTGTCATTCATCACTTCAATGTTTATTTTTTTGAAATATCATTTCATTTAACACTGGCTGCCTAAAATTGATAACCGCAGAAAAAAGCTTTCGAAAAAAGTTTTTATTAAGCTTTTTTTAATGATGTTTTTCGGCTCTGGGTACAAGCTATGTCCCAGATATGACATTGATAGGAGGGCGCTATTTTATCAATACTGTGGGTCTAGACAAAGTGCAAATTATAATCGCAAACCAGTCGAAAAGTGGTCGAAAAGCGCCTTTTTTTATAGAGTTTTGACGGATTCGATTTTCGATTCGATCAAAAAGTGCGTTTTGTCTAGGGGGGCTGGGTTATTAAGGTAAGTGCCCCCTACTTCGGTATATTAAGGCTCTTACGACTTTAACAATTTATTTAAAAATAACCAAGCATGATATCAGTATGAAAGCTTTTGTATGCTAAACTGTGGTCTTTTGACAGTAACTTAATACATAAATTGTAGTTATATTGTTTGAACTTTTTTTAATATTAATTGTTCTGCGGACCTCTTGTTTGGATCCTGTTTCGTGATAAAATTTTGCTCTGTTTCTAAGTTCGTGAACTCATGTCCCCTATTTCGGGATAAAGTTTTACGCATCGAGTTAGGATATTTTAATAATGATTAAGGGTTTAATAAATTTAAAAACGATAGTATAAATTTAGAATAAAAGAATTCTGTGAAATTGACGATATTATTTACCTACCTGAAATATACATAAGAAATTATGTGAGTCTGTCTAGCTAGGTAGGTACGTACCTTCGTACGAGGGCGGCACTGAAAATTTCGGGAATCAAGGAAGTGAAACAACATTACTATTTAAAAATGTATTTATTGCTTTTTAAAGTATTCTCCGCGAAATTTGACACATTTTTCCATACACGAAACCAATTATTGAAGCAACCATTCCATTCGGAAGTTTGGGTCTCCAAAATGGCCGTTTTGTAGGCGTCCACAGCTTCTTCAGGTGATGAAAATCTCTGACCACGCAATTTATTCTTTACTTTAGGGAAAGTATAGAAATCATTAGGGCTTAGGTCGGGTCTGTACGGCGGATGGTCTAATAATTCTATGTTTTCTTGCTCTAAAAACTCTTTTGTTCTGTGCGCGGTGTGAGAACTCGCATTGTCGTGATGGAGGATGATGCGGCGGTTGCAGTTCTCTTTACGGAGTTCAGAAACGACTTGTGGCAAAGAAATGCTAGCATACCATTCTGCATTAACCGTTCTTTGTCCCCCAAGAGGAATAATCGCAACATGGCCGGTTTTGGAGACAAACGTGGCCACCATTTTTTTTGCAACACTCCGTGAACGAACAATTTTTGTTGGCTTTAACTCATTTTCGAACACCCAAACTCGTGACTGGTTTTTTGTTTCGGGTTCGTACGCATATATCCAGGATTCGTCACCTGATACGATGTTGTATACAGCATTTGAGGATCCTGCATGTAATCTTCCGAGAGTTCTGANTTAATTCCAATTTTTGCCACTTAACGTTTCAGAATCGTTTGACTATAACTTTTTAAGGACAATGTCTTTAAATATTAGCCTTTTGTTGAATAATTTTACAAGATGGTAACGCAGCAAGAGATGAGGCGATTAACACAAGCAAAGATTTGTATCTGTATACGATGTCTGTGCTGACAAGTGCTTTCTGTCTCGTTTGCATACATTTAGCAAGAGCGAGATAGGTAATCTATTCTATTCGATATTTGAACTTGAATAAATGTCATTATTGTTGTTCTTGTTAGTGTTCTGTATTCAAATATTTCAAATTACATCTAGCGCTTACATAACCCTGAGATAATGAGTGCGTTGGCCGAAAAACTTGTATAGACCCAATATGCTGAACTCTCCTATCCGTGACATTGACAGCGGGGCACCACCGTCAATACCGGATTGCTGGTTCCGATTTTTGCCATGTTGGAAACTGTACAGGATGGAATTTTGTAATGCCACCTGGAGGGAAAGTACTCTTAATACTGTAGATAGAAAAAAATACTGAAAGAAAACATTCCTTTATTTTTGAAAAGAAAGAGAACTGCATTCAAAGATTTTTGAAAATTTTTGGAAAATTCACTATAATACATACAATTTTCTGTACATAATTAAAATAATTTAAGATTTCATGGTTTCCTTTCATTTGATTTATCAAGTTTGTTAGAGAGATTTCATCTTTATACTTAACCCTAAAGATCGATGTAATAAAAATACAGGGTGTAATTTTTAACAGTTTTTAGTTGGTTCGATTCCCGGGTGTGGCAAGCAGATTTTTGAAAATCTTTGAATGCAGTTCTATTTCTTTTCAGAAATAAAAGAATGTTTTCTTTGAGAAAATTTTGCTATCTACAATATTAAGGGTACTTTCCCTCCAGGTGGCATTAGAAAATTCCACCCCGTATAGTTGAACGATGGTGGCGCCCCCCTGTCAATTAGTTTGGTGGGACAGTTCAGCGTGGGTCATCTATACCATCGTTCAACTAAGTTTCCAACATGGCAAAAATCGGAACCAGCGATTCGGTATTGACGGTGGCGCCCCCCTGTCAATGTCACGGGTGCGTGGGATAGTTCAGTGTATTTTATTGGGTCTATACAAGTCTGAAGAAGTCTCGCTGACGTTTGACGTCACAAAAACACCCTCCCGTGCCGTTCCCATGCCTCAGGCACTGACTTAGGCGCCAGACCTAAAGTGTACCTACAAGCTTTCCGCCCGCGAATTTTGTCTGTCACAGAAAAACTGTCACGCGTGTCCCTGTTTCAAAAACCGGGGTAAAAACTATCCTATGTCCTTTCCCGGGACTCAAACTATCTCTATGCCAAATTTCATCAAAATCGGTTAAGTGGTTTAGGCGTGAAAGCAAGACAGACAGAGATACTTTCGCATTCATAATATTAGTATAGATGACATGCCCGTGTCTGTTGTGTTACATTATTAGGTAGTTTAAATAAAACATAGTAATTTATTTAAACAATTTATTCTATCAATAACGAATGTTACAATTCCAGATTATAATGGTCGTTACAAAAATACAAAATGCATTGTTTAAAATCTCATTATTATACTACAAGTCTTTTAGTTGCACCAAGTTATTAAAAATAATTATAATTAATTTTAAACTTTGTCTTCCTTCAGTATAAAACTCGAAGACAACTGAAGAAAATGACAATACAGGGTGGAAACGATAAGTGATCTCACTCGATTATTTTATTTCTATCGAAAAACTGGTTACTGATCCTGAAAGTTCTTCACGAGCTCTATCAAACGGTATCAATAATAGGTTACAGAATAAACTGGTTCTATCCGAAAATTCAATGTTTCCAGCTTAGATAGTGCATGAAGGACGCTACTTCGATCAATATTAGAAGTGTTAAAAATTCTCAGTAACCACTTTTTCGATATCTTGTACAGTTTAATAAATCGAGTGAGATCACTTATCGTTTCCACCCTGTATAACAGCAGATCGGACGTAGCTCATTGACTTACTACATCCTTATTACGCAAGAAATAAGAGTGACTTTTACAAAACAACTGCTACGTTAGACATACCGTCGGTAGTAATCTTTAATAATACGTAATTATTGAACACTAGCTTTCCGCCCGCGGCTTCGCCCGCGTGGAATTTTGTCTGTCACAGAAAAACTTTATCGCGCGCGTCCCTGTTTCAAAAACCGGGATAAAAACTATCCTATGTTCTTTCCCGGGACTCAAACTATCTCTATGCCAAATTTCATCAAAATCGGTTGCGAGGTTTAAGCGGGAAAGCGTAACAGACAGACAGACAGACAGACAGACAGACAGACAGACAGACAGACAGACAGACAGACAGACAGACAGACAGACAGACAGAGTTACTTTCGCATTTATAATATTAGTTGGGATTATAAATCGTTTCATCCACTCGGACGCGCCCCACCATTCCTCCACTAATGTTTGAGTGTTATCGGTACACGCTAAATGCTCCATGAGTGCACACGCACACTACAGTAATGCCTTACGGATTGCTCGGACCACACTCCCCGCACCCCGCGCGACCGGGACCAAACATTGCTGGGGCGCGTCCGAGTGGATGAAACGATCTAAAGTCTGGTCCGTGAGCACGTAGAATTTTGTCCAATGACCCCAAGCTACCCATCCTTATCGCTTGCGCGTAATTATGTTGCTATCGCGCTCGCACACTCACTGCGGGTGCCAGTCGCACAGTCGCGACAGCAATATAATTACGCGCGAGCGATAAGGATGGGTAGCTAGGGGTCATTGGACAAAATTCTACGTGCTCACAGACCGGGCTTTATAATAATAAATCAATCTTCATGAACATTAAAATTAGTTGGGTTCCTAAGCCTCGACCTAGTAGGCTTAACTTCTTTAGTCAATTTACCTGGACTAGTAGCCCTTTTCAAAGTCTTTTTATCCCTTTCAATTTTCGCCCTTGTCGCCCTTGTAGCTTTAGGGATTTCTGACCTCTCCCCCTCAGTTTTTAAGGTCGAGTTTTCCTTATCAGCTTTCGGCGTGGAAAATTCCGCTTCTAGATTTTTCACTATATTGTTCCTCAATGATTTCTTAGAATAGGTTCGTTGAGAGGTCATTGGAGTGAAAAATTGCTCTGCAGGCGTCGAGTTTGGAGTGAAAAATTCACTTTTATCAAGTTTTGGGGTCTCTTTTGTATCCTCTGTGGGTTTTGTCACTAGTATTTCGGGTCTGGACCGAGTACGCGGCGTGATATTTTCAAGAACAGGTTTGGTTGTCACTGGAACAGGTATTTTGAACTCTGGTCTTTTTCTTGTAGGTTTTGGGACTTCTGGCTCGTCTGATGCGTCGTCTAAATTGAGTTTTATAACTTTTCTTTTGACGTTTGGTAGTTCTTCGTTCTTAACAATCACTTTAGTCATTTTGGGGGGTAGTTTGGGCTTGTTCAAAGGCGTTTTAGGTTCTTCGTCTGTAGGAGTCAGCTTCAAATTCTCCATTTCACTCTCAAGTCCGGTATCAGATGGTTTCTTCACTATTTTTCTGATCTGAGCTGAAGTCGTCATCAAATTCATCACTTCGTTTTTTAGATAGGCATTTATATGAGTCATGTCTTGCATTATTTCGTGTATTCTAACAATCAAGTCGTCCGCTTTCTCGTACTCTTTCTGAGCAAGTTCAAAGAAGGCTGCTTCTATTAATACCTCAATTTGAACATTCTTAAACTCTTTCCCCACAATACATTCAACTAAATCAACTACATACCCTTCAAATTTACTTCTGGCAGCTTTAAAATACTGCCTCATTTTCGCTTCGGCATACCCAAAACTTTTTAAAGTACCTTCGAAGTAATTCCTCGCTATATCCCACTCTTTGGCTCTAAAATACATGGACGCTTCCAACCCAGAAGTAAGACAGGCTAGAATCAATACTTCAGGCTGGCAACCAAAGCATTCACAGTCCATATGCTTGAAAAACTCTGGCATTTTATAAGCCAGAACCGAAACGCAAGGCAGAGACGGGCTGGTCTGCATTTTCTTGAACACAACGTTTTCTAGCATGGTTTCTAGGTTCTCGTGGCGTGGAGTTAAGAAGACAGGTTGGGTTTTGTCGGATTTGTGCTCTTGAGTGTCGTTGGATGGCTGTAGGCCTAGGATGTGCTTGAGACGGTTGTCGATTGTTGTCTGGAAAAGAGATATATGTTTTTATACTTGAACGAGTAAAGTTACTATGAAGAAAGAGGAAGTATGTTGTCTGACTTTCTAGTTTTGCTTATTTTGTCACTAGATGTCCGCATTTGCTATTTCTTGTATAGTCTGGTCTGTGAGCACGTAGAATTTCGTCCAATGACCCCAAGCTACCCATCCTTATCGCTCGCGCGTAATTATATTGCTGTCGCGACTGTGCGACGGGCGCCCGCAGTGAGTGTGCGAGCGCGACAGCAAAATAATTACGCGCGAGCGATAAGGATGGGTAGCTTGGGGTCATTGGACAAAATTCTACGTGCTCACAGACCGGGCTTTAGATGCCTATGAATTTGCGTTGTGAATAGATGATAATTGTAGTAAAATTATGGTCATCATAAGGGGGAAAGCTTCTGATAATGATAGATAAATAATTGATGCTCTCCATCACACAAGTGACAAATAAAAGTACATAATTACAATATAAGTTCAAATTCATATTCAAAATTATTTGTTGTAATAGTCTCACTATGTTTCGTCTGTAATAAATCAATTAGTAAATTAACAGGTGTCTCCAAATTGTGTCAGATTTTGTGATTTAATTGCAATGGCACAAATTGAGGTTCAAATGAGTAATAACCCTTTATTTTTTACATAGAGCCATCATCATACAATCATACACATTATTGTCATATACAAAAAGTAGTGTTAAGCCGAATCCCGTTTCGGCCGTTTGGTGTAGTGGTTCAGAACGGACTACCCCGGGTTTGATTCCCGGTCGGGCAGAAATTGAAATGATGAATTTTAATTTCTGTGACGGGTCTGGGTGTTTTCTATGTATAATATGTATGTATTTACAAAAAAAAAGTATTTAAGTATGTTTATATCCGTTGTCTAGTACCCATAGTACAAGCTTTGCTTAGTTTGGGACTAGCGGCGCAGTGTAAAAATGTCCAAGGATATTTATTTATTTCTTTATTTATTTAATCCCAGAGGTAGAGCTTCACTAGGGCTACCGATACTTTTTGAGACATCCTGTATACACCACTACATTTTTATCACTGAAAACAATTTAACAGGTTATGTAGAACCAACACCTTAAGAGAAATGGTGGTGGCTGAAAACCAGCGCTGTCTAGGGCAGGTAGTCCTTGGCGGCACATGCTGAGCCACCTCCATTTGCTTTTTCTTTTAGCATAAGTTATTTTAAGCTTATAATGTAATTTTGTTTCTTGTAATTCCTTTTATGTTTAAAATGCAATAAACGTTTTTTTTTTTAGAAATGTGTGAAAAAAGTAATGTAAAAAATTTTTTTTTTCATAAAGTTAATTTTTTTACGTCACAGCTGGGGCACTCCGCTGCTCGCTAGAGTAGTCGTACGCGCTCGCTTATTGCCCCGATCTGTCTGTCTCGCTCACGCCTCGACCACGCTTCCAGTGTTATTATTTACTTACTTAGACCATTTTAATGCAACATTTTAAGTAATTTTAACTTCTAATAACTGTTACATTATCTTACGTAAATATTGCTAGCGATGCGTGTGTCCATAAATTACCAATTTTGGGATGAAATTTTGAGTAACTTTTTTTTGCATAAATAGGATCAGTATCAATTACCTTTAATACTCATTACCCACTTTTTTTTTTCGGTAGTAAAAATGTAGTGGTGTATAACTTTAATTAAAAAAAATCAATTACTTTAATTACTTTTATCTATCTAGTATCTACTATACGCACCTGAGCCACGTCCATCTTACTGGTATTCGTCACAGCTGCCCACAGCAGGCACTGAACCCGCGCCGCCGCCGCTCCTAAGGCCGAGCACGAGCCGCGGGCGCGCCGCCACGCGCGCAGTGCGCGACAGAAGGTCGCTGTGCGTAGGCTGGTGTGGCTGATGAGGTGCTTGAGGGTTAGGGAGAGGAGACGACGTTTGGTCCACTTGGTAGCTAGAAAAAAAAATTAAGGTAAAATTACTCGATTTTGGACACTATTGCAAAGACACAACGCTAAAAGGACGCGCAAGAGAGAGTTGTACAGCTGATGAGGTTTTTGAGAGTGAGAGAGGAGACGACGTTTGGTCCACTTGGTAGCTAAAGCCTGGTCCGTGAGCACGTAGAATTTTGTCCAATGACCCCAAGCTACCCATCCTTATCGCTCGCACGTAATTATGTTGCTGTCGCGACTGTGCGACGCGCGCCCGCAGTGAGTGTGCGAGCGCGATAGCAACATAATTACGCGCGAGCGATAAGGATGGGTAGCTTGGGGTATTGGACAAAATTCTACGTGCTCAAGGACCAGGCTTTAGAAAAAAAAGAGACAACATTTTGGACAAAGTTTGGTCCACTTGGTAGCTGAAAAAAAAATATTTGGAGTAAAATTACTCGATTTTGGACTTTACATTTCAACATTTAGCTGTGCACGTACGTAGTAAACGACAGAGGATAGCTGTAGATAGGCTGGTGATGCTTGAGGGAGAAAGAAAAGAGACGACGAAAAGACCATTTTGTAGCTAAAAAATAGACAAAATATTGGACTCTATTGCAAAGACACAAGGTTCAATACACAGCTGCCCACAGCAGGCACTGAACCCGCGCCGCCGCCGCGCCTAAGGCGGAGCACGAGCCGCGGGCGCGCCGCCACGCGCGCAGTGCGCGACAGAAGGTCGCTGTGCGTAGGCTGGTGTGGCTGATGAGGTGCTTGAGGGTTAGGGAGAGGAGACGACGTTTGGTCCACTTGGTTGCTAGAAGAAAGTAAAAAAAATACACCTAAAAAAAACAAAATTCGCCAAAAATAGTATTCAAGATAAAACTACTCGATTTTAGACTCTATTGCAAAGAGATAAGGATCAACATTCTGCTGCGCAAGCGCCGCCACGCGCGCAGTGCGCGACAGAAGGTCGCTGTGCGTAGGCTGGTGTGGCTTATGAGGTGCTTGAGGGTTAGGGAGAGGAGACGACGGGAAGACCATTTTGTAGCTAGAAAAAAAGAGATCAATTACTCGATTTTGGACTACTAAAGACATAAGAATCAAAATTACAAAGACGCAAGCTTCAACATTAAGTGCGCGACAGAAGGTCGCTGTGCGTAGGCTGGTGTGGCTTATGAGGTGCTTGAGGGTTAGGGAGAGCACACGACGTTTGGTCCATTTGGTAGCTAGAAAAAAAAATTTTAAGGTAAAATTACTCGATTTTGGACACTATTGCAAAGACACAACGCTAAAAGGACGCGCAAGAGAGAGTTGTACAGCTGATGAGGTTTTTGAGAGTGAGAGAGAGGAGACGACGTTTGGTCCACTTGGTAGCTAAAGCCTGGTCCGTGAGCACGTAGAGTTTTGTCCAATGACCCCAAGCTACCCATCCTTATCGATCGCGCGTAATTATGTTGCTGTCGCGACTGTGCGACGGGCGCCCGCAGTGAGTGTGCGAGCGCGACAGCAACATAATTACGCGCGAGCGATAAGGATGGGTAGCTTGGGGTCATTGGACAAAATTCTACGTGCGTAAAAAAAGAGACAACATTTTGGATTTTATTGCAAAGACTTATGATTCAACATTTAGCTGTGCACGTACGTAGTAAGCGACAGAGGATAGCTATAAATAAGCTGATGATGCTTGAGAGACAGAGAGAGAGAATAGACGACGAAAAGACCATTTTGTAGCTGAAAAAAAACTCAATTTGGACTCTATTGCAAAGATACAAGGTTCAATATACAGCCGCCCACAGCAGGCACTGAACCCGCGCCGCCGCCGCTCCTAAGGCGGAGCACGAGCCGCGGGCGCGCCGCCACGCGCGCAGTGCGCGACAGAAGGTCGCTGTGCGTAGGCTGGTGTGGCTTATGAGGTGCTTGAGGGTTAGGGAGATGAGACGACGAGAAGACCATTTTGTAGCTAGAAAAAAAGAGATCAATTACTCGATTTTGGACTCTATAAAGAAGACATAAGAATCAAAATTACAAAGACGCAAGCTTCAACATTAAGTGCGCGACAGAAGGTCGCTGTGCGTAGGCTGGTGGTGCTGATGTGATGCTTGAGGGTTAGGGAGAGGAGACGACGGGAAGACCATTTTGTAGCTAGAAGAAAGTGAAAAAATACACTTATAAAGAAAACAATGGCGCAAAAAATGGTATTCTAGATAAAACTACTCGATTTTGGACTCTACTGCAAAGACAAAAGGTTGAAAATTAAGTTGCGGGCGCGACGCCACGCGCGCTGTGCGCGACAGAAGGTCGCTGTGCGTAGGCTGGTGTGGCTTATGAGGTGCTTGAGGGTTAGGGAGAGCAGACGACGTTTGGTCCACTTAACTAAGTACGAGTAATTGATCTCTTTTTTTCTAGCAACTGCTAGAAAAAAAGAGATCAATTACTCGTTTTTGGAATCTATAAAAAGAGATAAGAATCAAAATTACAAAGACGCAAGCTTCAACATTAAGTGCGCGACAGAAGGTCGCTGTGCGTAGGCTGGTGTGGCTTATGTGGTGCTTGAGGGTTAGGGAGAGGAGACGACGAGAAGACCATTTTGTAGCTAGAAGAAAGTGAAAAAAATTATAAATGAAGTAAAATTACTCGATTTCGAACTCTATTGCAAAGATACAAGGTTGAAAATACAGCTGCGCAGTGCGCGACAGAAGGTCGCTGTGCGTAGGCTGGTGGTGCTGATGTGATGCTTGAGGGTTAGGGAGAGAAGACGACGTTTGGTCCATTTGGTTGCTAGAAAAAAGAAAGAAAAATTATAAATGAAGTAAAATTACTCGATTTCGAACTCTATTGCAAAGATACAAGGTTGAAAATACAGCTACGCAGTGCGCGACAGAAGCACGCGGTAGAAAGAGATGTAGTACTGATATGATGCTTGAGGGTTAGGGAGAAGAGACGACGGGAAGACCATTTTGTAGCTAGAAGAAAGTAAAAAAATACACTTAGAAAAGAAGAATAACTGGCGCAAAACACACTTATAATAGAAAATTAGTCGAGATAAAACTAAAATTACACGAGTTTAGACTCTATGACAATGATGTAAAAATCAAAATTCAGCTGCGCACGCGCCGCCACGTTAGTGGTAAGGGACAGAAGGTAGCTGTGCAAAGGCTGGTGGTGCTGATATGATGCTTGAGGGTTAGGGAGAGGAGACGACGTTTGGTCCATTTGGTAGCTACAAATAATAAAAATTACAAAATTAAACGATTTAAGACTCTATTGCAAAGAGATAAGGATCAACATTCTGCTGCGCAAGCGCCGCCACGCGCGCAGTGCGCGACAGAAGGTCACTGTGCGTAGGCTGGTGTGGCTTATGAGGTGCTTGAGGGTTAGGGAGAGGAGACGACGGGTAGAGCATTTTGTAGCTAGAAAAAAAAGAGAACATTTTGGACAAAGTTTGGTCCACTTGGTAGCTGAAAAAAAAATATTTGGGGTAAAATTACTCGATTTTGGACTCTATTGCAAAGAGATAAGGATCAAAATTCTGCTGCGCAAGCCCCGCTAGCCTTCCTCAATTTTTGAGCTTTTCCACACAAAAATAATTATTTCAATCAAACAAGTAATTCTTGAGATTAGCGCGTTCAAACAAACAAACAAAAAAGTCTTCAGCGTTTTAATATGAACTTGTTATTGTTGATTTTATTTTATGGGCAACTAATGAAGCCATTAAAGCACTAAAATCTTTAGTAGGAATTATTTCCGATTTAAAATCTAATTCTACTGGCCTAAAAGTAAAAAAATACACTTAAAAAGAAAAAAATGGCGCAAAAAATAGTATTCTAGATAAAACTACTCGATTTTGGACTCTATTGCAAAGACACAAAGTTAAAAATTCAGCTGCGCGTGCGACGCCACGTGTGTAGTGCGCGACAGAACGTCGCTGTGCGTAGGCTGGTGTGGCTTATGAGGTGCTTGAGGGTTAGAAAAAATAGTATTCTAGATAAAACTACTCGATTTTAGACTCTATAACAATGATATAAAGATCAAAATTCAACTGCGCAAGCGCCGCTACGTAAGTGGTAAGCGACAGAAGGTCGCTGTGCGTAGGCTGGTGTGGCTTATGAGGTGCTTGAAGGTTAGGGAGAGAAGACGACGTTTGGTCCACTTGGTAGCTAGAAGAAAGTAAAAAAATACACTTAAAAAAGAAGGATAACTGGCGCAAAACACACTATACAATAGAAAAATAGTCGAGATAAAACGCGACAGAAGCACGCAGTAGAGAGAGATGTGATGCTGATGTGATGCTTGAGGGTTAGGGAGATGAGACGACGGGAAGACCATTTGGTAGCTAGAAGAAAGTGAAAAAATAGACTTAAAAAAGAAGGATAACTGGCGCAAAACACACTTATAGAAAAATAGTCGAGATAATACTAAAATTACACGAGTTTAGACTCTATGACAATGATGTAAAGATCAAAATTCAGGTGCGCACGCGCCACCAAGCGCGCGGTAGAAAGAGAAGTGGTGCTGATGTGATGCTTGAGGGTTAGGGAGAAGTGACAACGTTTAAAACCATTTTGTTGCTAGAAAAAAAATACAAAATTTTGGACTGTATTACAAAGACACAAGGTTAAAAATTCACCTGGGTACGCGCGTGACCGAATTATCACTAATTGATATTTATTGTCCGTGGTGCATTATCTTTTCTTAAAAGTTACTAACTTTGTCACCTGTCATCCGCTTTGCAATGGAGGGAAGTCGAACCTTAACTTCGAACTCCTATGTTCTTCTGGTTAATTTCGTTGCGGGTCCAATGACAGTTTAACTTTCCCCCGGGACAAACTTGACCTTCACTGGTTGGGTTATTGGCGGTCAAGCTGTAGATCCTGGCTACACAGGAGTTGCAGCGGTGGGAACGAGAGGTGGGAATAGTCCCGTTTCTCTATCACACATCTGAGGGCTTAGTGTGAGTTTACATTAAACTCCGTCACTAGCGAGCGCGTAAAAAAATATATGAAGATTTTAGTTCTTGGAAGTTTCCGCTAGGGGCGCTGTACAATCCGTCATACATTTAATGTCACTTTGTTACGCAGTCGACATCGAATGCTTGATGCTTGACTATCTACTGTGGATAGAAATATTAATTTTAGTAAATAATAATATATCCACTGACCAGTGTTGCTGACAGCCAAGTAGTGCCGCTGCGTGTTGGTGACGGCGCTCAGTGTGGCGCCCTCAGTACCGCCACACACTTCCACTTGCGCCTCTAATAGACGGCCCACTGCTAGGTCCACTGTGGAAGAAATAGAGGTGACGCCCGTTACTATAATAGGTATTGATAGTCTGGGAAAAGTTACGACATCGATAAAACAAAATATGTATGTACATGTTACGCTGAAAGACCTATAAAAATAAATATTCCTTGGACATTTTACACTGCGCCACTAGTCCCCACCAAAGTAAGCAAATAATATGCTTGTGTTATGAGTGCTAGCTTATCGGATATACTACTTATATAATTTTAAATTCATACATATTATACATAGTAACACCCAGACCCATCACAGAAATTAAAATTCATCATTTAAATTTCTGCCCGACCGGGAATCGAACCCGGGACCTCTCGGCATAGTAGTCCGTTCTGAATCACTACACCAAACAGCCGATTTATAATTTAGTTTCAGGAGCGACTCTAATACCTAAGAAATATTAAGAACAATTTGTGTAACACTCACGGTTGACATCGGGGTTCTCTTGCAAAGCTCGCAGCGTATTCGCCTGCACCGCTTGAAGAAGTCTAGCTGCTATTCCGGTCGACCCGCATCGATAGTAGTACATCTATGGTGAGAAAACAGGTGAATATTGTTCATTATGAAACTAGAAAACCTATGAAACTAGCGATTTTTTGTTCAATAATAATTATTTTATTTCACTTAGGCTGTGTTACACCATCTTACTTTAATAAATTTCAAAAATCTGTCAAACTCCATACAAAAAACACTGATTATTGTTAAAGTTACGGTTAAAGTAAGTTTGTGCAACTGGCTGCGTTGCACCACCAAACTCTGACCGTAAGTTTTTTTTTTTACTATCCCGCGTATTTATTGCCGCAGCGATTCTGCCAATATCAAGTGTTCAAGGAGACACATACTTTAATCTGCTTTAGTCCGCTAACGATAGCTATAACTATGGAGTTTGATAGATTTTTGACGTTGGTCAAAGTTAATGTAAGATGATGCAACCCAACCTAAATCTTAATCACTTCTTGTTATTCCTTTTTTGTTTAAAAGGTTTCAAGAATTATTGCTATCGACGGTATAATATAATGAGGGTTTTCGCGAATGAAAGATCCGCTAGATGGCGGGACGTGGATGTGGGGTCTGACTGCTGCGTGATTGGTGGATTTTGACATATCTGCCAATGTCATGTCAAAAATAACCAATCATGCAGCATTTGGACCTCGCGTCTACGTATTGCCATCTGGCGGATTTTTAATTCGCGAAAACCCTCATTGGAATAAGGTTGTGTCAACTTTTTGGCCACTTTGGGCGTCATGAACTATTTGACGCTGGCTGTACATTTTTTACTATTACAACTATAATTTAAAGATATGCATAAAATATGCTATGATGTTAACGACTTGGTGCGCCTTTGTCAGCACAAAATGAAATTTAAACTACTTACCGCAGTAGTGGCCAAGAAGATAGCCACTATTCCGTAGTCCACAGCGCTACACAACGGCACACACCGCGAGATGAGAGTGGCTATGTCTTCGCAGTGGCTATGTGCGTTGTAGATGAGAATAGTGGCTGACCGGATGTAGGCTTCACTGTGAAAAAAAGAAATATGCTTTAAATGGGTAGTTAGCCACTGAAGATCTATGGTTAATAATTAAATTTCTGCCCGGCCGGGAATAGAACCCGGGACCTCTCGGCATAGTAGTCCGTTTCGAACCACTACCACAGAATAATAATAAGTACTACGTACAGAAGTTTTACTTTGCGAAGGTATTTAAAAAAATGTATGCTCAATGTCATTAACAATATGGTGTAATTTAGCCTGTCGCAAGAGTCGAGCACCATTTTGTTGACAAACGTCAGTGATCGGCACTGCGCCGAAGCTATAGGGCTGACTTCGGTAAAATGATGTGACGTGAGGTGCCAAACTGCGGAAAATGGCGGAGGAAATACATGATTTAGCATGAATTATCATGAATAATATTAACTACTTATTTACCTCTCAGTGTCTTGAGGTAACTTAAAAAATTACATTCTGTGTTTTTATTATTATTTAGGCAGTTAAATACTGCACAGTATTTAGTACACCATTTTCTTTATTTTTTCCATCATACACAAGAATACGCGTGCGTGAGTCAATGTTCGCTTGTATGTGAGGCCTTGTCGAATAGTATCCTGTAGGTGGGCCATCGTGCGCGTTTTGTTTTCGATGTAAACTCGCGGAGATGAACAGGCCTGCACCAAACAGCCGACAAAAAAATGGATAGATAGCCACTAAGGGCTGATTTTTCAATCGTCGGATAACTTTTAACTGAAGAATAAGTTTGGCACATTGACAGGTTTAGTATGGGAAATATGTCAAAATGACAAGATTATAATACTACTTTTTAAAACAGTCAAAACGAAACTCTCCCATAGATTTTGTATGGCACTACAAACAAGTGCCGTCACTATTTTGTCAATAAAACTACTTTTTTCAATTAGAATGCGACCAAATATTGTTATTTACAGCTAATTTAAAATTAAATGAAGTATCTTTTCAAAAAATATTGATTTTGAATGATTGGGGAATGGTGTCAAATTGTCTATTATAGCCTGTTTTCCTTTTTAATCTGTACTTTGACAGCTGTCAATGTCACTAACCTGTCAGACGCATGAGCGGCGACCTCGCAGCACAGGTGAGCGAGTTGTAGACCGTACGTGATACTGCCAAGGTGTAAGAACTGCTGGATCCAGACTTGGTAAAGCTGGAGACTGTGGGAGACGAGGGTAGACCGCTGGACTGTGGAGGAAATGAAGAATTTGAGGGTATAACTGACAATAGTCAAGGGTCTTCTAACTTACTGAGAATTCCGGGCATCGTATCATTATACAACGCGTTGCAACCCGATGCGAAAATATGAAAGTTGTTAAATTATAATGTAGCTGGACAAGACTGTAGTGTCGCAGATATGACATTGACAGGAGGGCGCTATTATGCTTCTGCATTGATAATAGATAATATTAGGTATTTTTCATTTTAATTTTAAAGAATATCTAAAGTTTTTTTTTATATTCTGATCGCTCTGAGATTAGTATGTAAACACACCTATCAAGTTCCTAAATTGGTGCTAAAAAAATCTACGCAAGACAATGCGCGATGATGCGGGGGACATTTGACAGTTTGAAATGACTAGAGATTGCACAAACTTCAATCGATTTCACTTTTATACCTCCATAATAGTTGTGTGCAGTTGTAACTGGTTCATAGATTTGTAGGTATATTTTTTCTTAAATAGGTAATTTTTTCTTAAGTGGTATTCAATGTACCTATTATAGCCTGACCAGGAACATAAAAACCCTGGCATAGAGGCGCGTCAATTGCATTTGATAGTGCAACACTGAGTACAGTCGTACCTGTGTTAAATTAATAGGCTAACTTTATGTATCAGGATTCAGGATTACGGGCTAATTTGATATTTTCATGAATTAACGAAAAAATATTATTATAGGTAACCTGGTTTAAATAAATTCAATGAAAACATCAATCGAGCTAGTAGGATTTATTTTATTATTCATCAATAATCAAATTCAGAACTTGAATATTCAACTGCAATGTTTGCTCATGAACGCTTCAAACTCGGTACTTCTTTCCCAATTCCATAAAATTCAACACTTAGAAAGTGACAAAAAATTTTAAAATAGGTAGTTGAAACAAACCACAACTAATTTTCATAGTGGACTGTACTATGCGATAAACATGTCAGTCAATATGACAACCTTTGTCGGAAACATTATTCAATGAAAATATTGTCCGAACCCTTAGTATTTCTCTTCGACAAATACTTTAACACATTGTAAACCATTTTTCTTTCACGACTATAAAAAGATTTTAGCAATTTAATTCATAAAATCAATTGCGCACATTTAAAATAAAGTTTGTTTACACTTTGACAGCAATAGACTGACATGCAAGGTGACATGACAAGGAAGTTTTCAGTTACTGTTGCCATTAAAAGAAATTAGTACCATTAGTTTTCCGCAACATGGCGAGGGTTTTTATGTTCTTGGTCAGGCTATAATAAGTAAATACTAATAAAGTATTTACAATTGAATACAAAACACTTTAATTTGATCCTGAAATGCAAGTTCACTTACTGCTTGTAATGTCTTTAACAGCTTTGGTCAGTATATCCACAGCGTCCACCGCTCGTCTCATGGCTGTATGCTCTTGCGGCAACGTCCTGCTGGCTTGGATCAGGTCTGGGTCCATATTCTGAAATTTAATACAGGGTGTCACCATCATCATTTCAGCCACAGGACGTCCTCTGCTGAACATAGGCCTCCCCCAATGATTTCCATAATAATCAAAACATCTTCTATAATATAAAAATAAATCGCAAAATGTGTTGGTTGAAAATGTTGAAAATGTTTTATTTGATAAATAAAGTGGATTAACAAGATATTTTGGTAACCATCCTTTAAAGTATAAGAATACCTGTAGTAGGAGGTTACCGCTCTTCCAAAAGTATTAACATACATTCTTAGTTAGTGTGTTTGTGGACTTTGTGGTGTATTGAGTGAATTTGTGTGTAGTGTTATGAGTGGTGTATTGAGTGAATTAGTGTGTTGTGTTGTGAGTGGAGTGTTGTGTGTATTATACAGGGTGTCCCAAAAACAATGGATAACCCTGTAACCATCGATAGGCCTCGCCATGGTCTCCCTAACGTCCAATTTTGACCCCAGTAAAAATATCACCGTTTTCAAGATTTTTAAGTTTTTGTGCATTTTTAGAAAATTGTCACCTGCGATTACTTTTTCTCATGCCATTTCTACAAATGAGGATACTTTTCAATCTAGTTTTTTTCCTTATCACAAGGGATAGTTGGGCTATCAAAAGAAAAGATTAAAGTTCAACAAACTAGTTTAATAGTATGAAAATTTTAAGAAATTGCAGAGAAGAAGGAAAAAATAATTCATTGTTTCGCACTTTTGATCAGCCGTCGTGTAAAAAAAATGTAGGAAGACCATCGTGCCCATTACCTTAAAAACTTCCTTGGTTAATTGAGAATTTAAAAAGGTATCACAAGTGCAAGACAATGAATTAATTTTTCCTTCTTCTCTGCAATTTCTTAAAATTTTCATACTATTAAACTAGTTTGTTGAACTTTAATCTTTTCTTTTGATAGCCCAACTATCCCTTGTGATAAGGAAAAAAACTAGATTGAAAAGTATCCTCATTTGTAGAAATGGCATGAGAAAAAGTAATCGCAGGTGACAATTTTCTAAAAATGCACAAAAACTTAAAAATCTTGAAAACGGTGATATTTTTACTGGGGTCAAAATTGGACGTTAGGGAGACCATGGCGAGGCCTATCGATGGTTACAGGGTTATCCATTGTTTTTGGGACACCCTGTATGTGTAGCAATATAGTTTAATTTAATTTATGCCTATTAAGTTGGTAAGCGCATAATTCAACAACGCCTCAACCAATTTTACCAATTCTTTTTTTTAATGTTTGTAGAAGTCCAAGGGTGGTTTTTACGGCAAGATTTGCAAAATTCAAGCCCTAAGGGGGTAAAACGGGGTCCACGCGTACGAAGTCGCGGGCGGCCGCTAGTACATAATTAAAATTAAAATGTGTTGGCTTCTTACAAAGCATGGAAATATTAATATTATTTACATAAGCGTATTTTTATTTGACAATCAAACAAGTATGTAATAACAAAATCTTGTTGGTTATCCTATTAAATAAATAAAGTTATAGAGCGTTGAAGTTCCACGTAACGTCACGGCGTGCTACACTTTTTACCACACAATGACGTCACTGGCTCCATTTGAGCTTTGACGCGCTATATCTTGTAAATTTTCATCGATTTGCAAAATGTAAACTGATATTTTGAAGTTTTGTTGTAACATTCATCATTAACGTATAGGATGCATGTTGTTAGGTTACAATTTAGCCCATAAGGTTACGTGCTATACCTACAATTTTCTTTTTTTATTATTTTCTATTGACATTCATAAGTGCCACTTGTGGTCTAAACTGAATAAATATTTTTGATTTTGATTTTTGATTTGTGAAATCTTAATTGTAATCTGTTTTGCGTTTTTAATAACTAAATAAATGAATATATTTGATAAAGCAAAAAATACGTGTCGGGTAGTTTTTAAAGACAATTGACGGACTATTTTATTTTTTACCCAGGAAATATTGATATTGAAAAAGTACTTACAGGTTCTGTGATTTTCCATCCGTGCTTTTGGCTGGCTTCAGTCATGTCGTACTCCGCTTTCAGGAAGAGAAGGGATGATTGAACGAATTGCAGGTCCGTTGTGGATGCCTGGGAAACAATAAAATATTATACAGGATGGAAACGATAAGTGATCTCACTCGATTATTTCTAAACTATACAAGATATCGAAAAACTGGTCACTGATCCTGAAAGTGCTTCACTTCGGATAGATCCAGTTAATTCTGTAACCTATTACTGATATCGTTTGAAAGAGCTCGTGAAGCACTTTCAGGATCAGTAATCAGTTTTTCGATATCTTGTGTAGTTTAGAAATAATCGAATGAGATCACTTATCGTTTCCACCCTGTATACCATAAAGTTAAGCTAGCCAGGTATTAGCGGAATAGAGCAACAAAGAACTGAGCGAGCGAGATGTCACTAGCAGCAACACTGTGTGTTAAAAAGAGATGCGTGATGCCGTCGCCGTCACGTCAAACAGAACCGTTTTTGCAACTATTTGACAGTTCAGAGGCACGCAGTGGTGCGCTGAAAATTTCAACTAAAATATTTCAAATTATACTCTATCAAACTGTATCAATAATGAGTTACAGGTAAACTAAATTTATCCGAAAATTCAATGTTTTCCAGTTTCCATACATTTAAGCGTAGTCGCAGACCACCCGACTGGGTCGGGCTGTTGATCAGTATGGAGATGAACAAAAGTGCGCACATTACACCGATTTGGTATCGGCCTATTCTTCATACAAATTAGAATCGGGTCCAACTTTTGGCTTAACTATTAGATCGTGTCATCCGCTCGGACGCGGTCCAGCAATGTGCGGTCCCGGTCGCGCGGGGTGCGGGGAGTGTGGTCCGAGCAAGCCGTAAGGCATTACTGTAGTGTGCGTGTGCACTCATGGAGCATTCAGCGTGTACCGATAACACTCGAACAAGAGCGGAAGAATGGTGGGGCGCGTCCGAGTGGATGAAACGATCTATAACAGTTTGGAGTGTAACTTACCGGGTGCTTCTCAAATCTATCCAGCAGCTGTGTGACTATATCCGTATAATACTCGCTGTGTATAGTCCTCACGACGGTAGGCGTCTCCAAAACTACAGTGTACAGGGTCCACAATAATTCCTCTTCGTTCTCAGCTAAGAACATGAAACAAAACATTTATTTTAAGTTGAATATGAATTATGTAATACATCGTAAGACCCGGTTCCCACTACGGACCGGTAAAACTCCCGGTAGGGCTAGTGGCTGTACAATTTATACAGTGTGTTAGGGATAGGGCTAGCGATAATTTAAGACGTTGTTGTGATGTCAATTTTATCGACAAAAATGCCCTCATATGTGGGCCCACCCTCTCCTCTTGGAATGGGAGGGGCTTAATTTTTTATGTGACTACCTAAAAATTGTTTGTATTTCTAACGTGACCGTCTTACAGATAAATAAAAAAATGCATTTGTAAGCCAATAATGTGTCATTAAAAAAAACACAAAAATGAAAAATAATGACCAAAAAACTTAAATGAATTTTTTGTGAAAAAATTTAGTTTTGACGGGCAAGTTTTTGAAGGCATTTTAGCCCTTCCGGGAGTTTTACCGGTAGTGAGAACCGGGCTTAACAGCTAATAACAATAAAATGAAAACTACCACGTAAAAAAATCAATTGAACAAAATTCGACAGGTTTGCCGCAAATGCCGGTCACCGCCAGAAGTAATTCCTTTAGACTTACGTGTTTTATGAAAAAATCTTACCTTTACACCAAGATGCGTGCTCGTTCTTCAGTAGACTATGGAGGGATTTCCATACGCCCGCTATTGGCACTATGGAAGGCCATAACTTGGCGTACATTGAGAATTCGTGCTTTAGGAGTTCGCTGTGGAAATATAATGGACTGTTAAAATACATATAAAATTAGCTATTATTTTTAATAACGTAACATGCGACGTCTGCCCACAAAGTGGACCGACGACCGCATAAAGGTAGCGGGAAGGCGCTGGATGCAGGCCGCTACCAATCGGGCGATGTGGAAGTCATTGGGGGAGGCCTATGTTCAGCTGTGGACGTCCTGTGGTTGAAATGATGACTAATTCATAAGATTTGTGAGAATGAATGGATAGAGGTTTAGTCTCTTCTCACGCAAAACGTAATGAACGTATTTTGATGAAATTTGGTTATAGAGATAGTTTAAAACTCAGAGATAATCGTAGGATAGTTTTTATCCCGGTTTTCGAAAGGGTTTAAGACCTAAATTGACGCGGACGAAGCCGCGGGCAAAAGCTAGACCTAGTACAGTCAGCGTCAAATAGTTCGTAACACCCAAAGTGGCCAAAAAGTTGACACAACCTTATTCCAATGAGAGCTATCGTTTTAGCGCTCACCAGTTGGCGCCACTGTAGAGTAAGGTCCTGGCACTTGCTAGTAGCGAAGACAGTGGCACCAACTGGTGAGCGCGAAAGTGGTAGGAGGACTATCGCATTTGCACTCATCAAGATGGCGCCACTGTAGAGTAAGGTCCTGTCAATCACCAGGGGTGCCAGCTGTTGAGTATAAAAACGATAGCCCTCATTGTAACAAAGACGTGTTGCGAACTTTTTAGCTACTCTGGATGCTTACTGCACTCCTAAATATCGACAATAAACAGTACTAAAGAAATACTTACCTAAACTTCAAATGGCAAACAAAAGGTTTCAAATTCCCGTACTTTTTCTCTTCCAACATCTTTTTACATACTTCTAAAACCGAAAACAGCTGGAATTCGTCTTTGTTTTCGTCCTCGTTAGTTTTCGACTTCAATTCTTTAGCCTTTATGTCCATCACTAAGCTCATATGTTTCTCCGTCTTCAATCCATCTGGCAGCGAGAAAAGCAAGCTCAAATATGCATCTTTTAAGGATTCTTCGTACAATTTGAAGTCCAGTTCGCATATACTTTTGTTGTACAGCGCTCTGCTAATATTCTTCAAGTCACTAGTGTCTTTAAAATGATGAATCTCCAATTCTACGTACAAATTGAAGAGTTTTATCGAGTATTCGTAGTAGTGAGCCTTGTTCAACGTTATAGCTGTATTATGGTTGTCCGTTTGAAGCTTTCTGAAGCATTTCTCGTGATTTGCACAACCTAATGCTCGTAATTCGTGCAATACTTTGTGTTGAATTGTTACTAGTTTGTAATAAATTGGCAGTATAGGTTTCACGTCCATATTTTGAGCGATGGATGTGTATGGAAAGTGCTTGATTAGGAATAGCAAGCGTAAGGTGTCATGGAGACCTGATTTCACCTTGCAGTTGTCACATTTCAAAAACTGATCGCTTTTCTTCGTTGAAAGATACATGATCACATTCAGATAGCTGTACTGAATCTTGGAGTTGAAGACTTGAGACCAATCTGCGATTGTTACGGCATTGTCAATGAGTAGCCGGACGATTTGGTTCAAAAATGGATACGTTACTTTCATTATTTTTTCATAAAGATTCTCATGACTGACAAACGCAGCTAAAATTTGGTTCAGTGTACTTTCAACTGTAGAAGCTTCGTTTGTGTTTTCGATTATTTTACAAAATCCATTCAAATAAAAAGTATCAATGCAATTTAAAACTTCAGGATTGTGTTCGAACCAACTCCTGGCAGTTTCAGCAACCAAAGTCAGACTGCAACCTTTGAATTGGAATTTCGAAGCATTCTCAGCGAGCACATAAAAGCAATCGTTAAATTTCTGATACAAATCCATCGTTTCTTTCTCTTTCAACTTTCTAAACGAACCCAAATCAGTCTTCGCTTGTATACTTTGGAATATTTGTCTAAAAACACTGTGCAGTTCTTTGGCATTTAAATCGTTGTACAGAAAATGAAGTTTCTTTATTAAAAACGTTAATATATTCACACATAGCTGAACGGTGTCAAATATTTGGATAACTTTGACAGTGTCTTCAATGAGTTTTGGCAGCAGTTTCATCAGATTGATCTTTGGTTTGAGTTTCTCCATATACGTGATACGGTCGGTGAGTATACTCCAGTACGTTTTGCTGTATTCGTGAAGCAAATGTTTTGTGTCGTATTCGAATGGCATAAATGATAGTTTGAGAATGAGCTCTGGTGGGATTGTTGAGTGCTGAAAAGATAAAAGTTACTGGTCATTTGGCATATTAAGAGTAGGCGCACACCGTTGATTTTTAGTTGGCCGATAGTTGTGCCCGATTTTAATTTGTATGAAGAATCGGCCAAATCGAATCGGCGTAGTGTGCGCACTCCCATACATGCCCATACTGATCAACTGCCCGACTAAACTATCGGCCGACAAAACATCAACGGTGTGCGCCTACTCTTACACATTACAGCAGCGCGGCAGCGGCGTTTTTATAATGTGAAGGCAGGCATTCGCTGTCACATAGTATGAAATTTTCGGCAGTGCGTCTGTCGCGCGTTTGTCGCGCTGCTAATCTTCTATACTTATAATAAATCTGTAGAGAGGTAAATTCTGTACATGAAATATATTTTCAAAATAACTATCAGGGGGTGATTAGTGATCGATACTGATGCCAAAAATGCAATCAGTAAAATTTTTGTCTGTCTGTCTGTCTGTCTGTCTGTATGTTCCTTATAGAAACAAAAACTACTTGACGGATTTTAACGAAACTTGGTACAATTATTCTTCATACTCCTGGGCAGGTTATAGTATACTTAGGAATTCCCACGGGAACGGGAATTAGCGGGAAAATCCTTTTGTATGAAAAATCTAAACCGCTTAAGTTAGACGCTTGAAATTTGGCATGCAGGTACCTTAGTAAACGTAAAGCTTAGTTACAACAGGATATTGCAAAATTCCCACGGAAACGGGAGTTAGCGGGAAAAAACATTTGTATGAAAAAATCTAAACCGCGTAAGATAGATGAAGGGGGTAAAACGAGATCCACGCGTACGAAGTCGCGGGCGGCCGCTAGTGTTACCTAAATGTGAAAGCGCTCTAAAGCCTTCAGACTAAAGGCTATGTATTACTATGAAATACCATCCATAAGTAGCATGTCTTCAGAAGGTATGTCATAGAAATACTTAGAAAGCTAGTACCTCGATGGGGGCAGCACATGACTGGTGGTTGTGGAAATCCTTGGGGGAGGCCTTTGTCTAGCAGTGGACATCATTTGGTTGAAATGAATGAATGGACAAACATGGAAATCAGTGCGTCTCGACTTCACATCATCTGCTGCTACAAAGACTCTGCTATGAACTTGTAATTTAACCCTTGACCAGGCTCTGGTATCCACAGAGCCCATATCAATTTGAACTTTATTCTATGAAGATATGTTTCAAGAAAACCAAAGACATTTTTTGAGCCTGGTTAATGGTTAAGTCTATAATGTATGAAGCGTGTATAGTCTGAGTTGCCGTCGCGCTCGCACACTCACTACGGCCGCCCGTCGCACAGTCGCGACTAGAGATGTGCCGCTGAGAAAGTTCTCGTTCCCGGCAATATTCCCAGTGAGAATATTCTCGAGAACCGAGAACGCTCCCGGGAATATTCTCAGTGTTCTCGACAGAATACATTTAGTTTTAATTTTAATTTTGTCTTTTATATGTGATATTATTTGTGATGTTTCGATGTTTTATTAACTGGGCGTTAAGACTAGTCGTTATAAACAACTTACAAGGCATGAAACTTGTGAGTGAGATATTGCTGTCTTGCTCACTCTTTTCGTGGCGAACGCGTACCGCGGCTTTAGGACTCGGCTACGGTATTTCAACATCAGTGTGCCTATGAGTTTTAAGGCCCTTGCCACCCTTGCGGATTGCAAGCGGATTCCAAGCGGATTTAAAGTGGATTTAAAGTGGAGTGGCGACGCGACGGAGAAGCTGCGTGAAAATATCGTAAAGCTTCCCAAAGGCTGCCCAGCCGAGCTGGATTCGATGATTGACCTTTTTTTCGAAGTTGGATCTACCTAACTGGACTGTTTGTCCCAGGTATATTGTCAACAATAGACATCATTTTTAAATCTTGTCCATGTTCATTTTGAAACCCACTTGTTGAGAGACTCTATTGAGGCCATCGAGCATTGTGCCTAGATCTTCCACGATCTCAGCCATGACTACGATCGTCTGCTGTCTGGGTGATGTACTCGCCGTTGATTTTTATGTTGAATCCGCTCCAGCCCAGAAGCTTGAAAACATCTTCCAGGGCGGTGGTGATGACGTCTCCCTGTCTCACCCCTCGCTGCAACTGGATAGGTTTCGGGTCCTGATCTTAAAACGGACTGTCACTGTGGCGTGTTTGTACAAGCCTTTCAACACTTTAATATATCAATAGTTAATTTGGCACAGTCGAAGAGACTGAAGCACTGCCCATGTTTCAAACGAATCGAAGGCTTTCTCATAGTTCACAAACGCAAAGTGGCTGATTATACTCCTTGATCTTCCGTACAATCTGCCGTCAGGGCCGGATCTACCTATGGGCTGATTGGGCTGCAGCCCAGGGCCCCGGGGTTACAAGGGGCCCCCAGATCCCGCTAAAAAGTAGGCCATAATTTGAAAAAAAACATCCAATGAACCCAAACTCGATGTGATTCCGCCGTTTCGTTTAGGAGTTCTTTTGGCCACCTTCCAGTCCCATCATCAGACCAGCTGGTACCACAATATTGTATTGCCATTTCTAATCTACATATAATTGCCAAGTTTCATGATAATACAAGACTTAGAAGTGCGTGTAATTCCGATTCTAAGATTCCATTACATAGTTAGTTACATACACAACAACCTAATAAGAGCGTGTTAAGAACGAAAAAATGGACAGTTACATTATTTAATTACATGTAAAAATAAATTTCTGTCATCTTACATATCATTAAAACGACATTTCACGACGAAAAAAATAAAATATAATAAAGGTGCAGTTGCCAAGAATATTGCCGAGAAAGTTCCCGAGAATATTCTCGGGAACACTGAGAATATAGCCTTTCACTGCAAATAGAGTGTATTGTTTAATATACACTTATCTGTTGACTTAATTTAATACTATTTTACTTAAGAAAGTTTATTTATTTCCATTAGATAAACATGATTCTCAACCTTTCTCACTTAGGAGAACGCTCCCGGGAACGCTCCCGAGAATATTCTCAGCTGAGAGAGCGTTCTCGGGAACGGCACATCAATAGTCGCGACAGCAATAAATTTACGTGCGAGCGATAAGGATGGGTGTAGCTTGGGGTCATTGGACAAAATTCTACATGCTCACAGACCGGGCTTTAGTCAGTTACTTACCACTTTGACAGCATGCTTGTGGATATGGTAGATACAAGCCAACGTCTTGACTCGTTCCGGCTTGTCGGAGCACCTGGTCTCTCGCACACAGCTGATGCTCAGTTCTAGCAGCAACCTGGCATCGATACGGTCCCGCCATGTTGGAACTTTGTCCAGGTTCCTGAAAATTAATGTTCTGAGGTGAGAAATAAGAACTGACTAAAGACGGGCTCGGGGCAGGGCACCGACGAGATGGTCGGACGCGGTGAGGAAGACAGTGGGCGGGAGTTTGCATCGTGCGGTCCACACAGCTTATGACCGCAGTCTGTGGAGGAACACTATCTGTGGTCGTGACCCTCATCAGTGAGGGACCGAGGAAGAAGAAGAAAGCAGTGGTTCCCAAAGTTGTCTGGGCTACGACTCATCTAATACAAGTTCCCAAACACGGGACCCACCTATAGGAAATTTAACCATTATCAATATACCTGAAATAAAGGACTTTCTACAGGCAGGGCCACTCAATGTTAGCTCGTGCGTGACCTACCACTGGGTCGCGACCCAAAGTTTGGGAAACCCTGGACTTAAAGATTAAAAAGAAAGACACAGTGTTAAGAATTGACATTATGAGAACAGCAGGCAACAATTAGCTTGATCTAGCCCAGTGGCCTAATTCACGAACTTTGACACAGTCAAAATCTCGTTGACAACAGAAAAAAACAGTTCTAAATCCGTATTCACAAGGGTCATTTCGATAGAACGATTACTCGATTGGATCACAACTCAGCGATTTGTTGTCGTTGAAGTTTTGTAACGTGAATAAGGCTACTGGACAGGCAATAGTGGAGCAAGTTGGAGGCTTTTGCTCACACAGGGTGCCATAGGAATTAGCTAAACAAATATCTTTTAACAATCCATTTATTGTAACCAAACTGTTTTTGGGGAAATAAAAGCTTTTTATTTATTTAGGGCCGTTTTTTCAATCATCAGATAACTTTTAACTGAGGAATAAACTTGTCATTTTGACATATTCCCCATACTGAAACTATCAATATGCCAAACTTATTCTTCAGTTAAAAGTTATCCGATGATTGAAAAATCAGCCCTTAAAGATTTAAAAAATTTAGACTAAAAGTTAAGATATCATGTCAGTCACTCATCAAGTCATAAAACTAGCTGTGTGCTTTGGGATTCACACTAAAAAGATAAACTTAAAACTTTTTTCTTATTTTTTATTTGTACTGAATAAAACTAGTAACTTACCTATTTCACTGAAGTACTAGATAATAAAGAGGATATCTGTATCCAAATGCATTATTAAAATTTGTGAGTAAAACACTTGCAAATGGTCAGACTAATAAAGTAGAAAAGAAGATTCCAAATTGAGTTTTCTGCTAGATATACACTATTAAATTAATGCATAACAGCAATAGAAATATCAGAACTACATAGAAATGAATCTATGGAATCAAAAAACTTCAATATCAAGCAATATAACATGCAAAATCCGGATCAAAATGACAGAGCATGGTACAGACTGAATCTAAAAAATATTGATGTTTAATGTATTTTAACAAGGATCTAAGTACTAATACATACCTGCAGAGTATGCAGAGGACATTCAAGGAGAAGGGTGCTTTATCTTTAGCACCCAAACCACTCAAAATCGCCTTGTATTCAACAAAAACTGTGCTCAAGTCACACACATCTTCATCAGTCCCGTTTGCCTTTAATTTTGCAACAAAATCGTTGGCTTCCATATTTAACACTTTAAGAAACACTAATACTGCTATAATATAAAGCTTTCAAGCATTTTATTTGTAACAAAACAACTAAAATTAGTGAAATACTTTCAAAAATGATCAAAACCGTTGGCGAGCTGTCATCATGAAATCAAATTGTGTTCTTATTTACCACATTCCATAAACTTGAAAACTCAGATTTCAAACTACCTATCACATGGCTTCATCAAGTCCAATTTTTGCAAATAATCATAATAAAATGTAAACGGAACATGCCCGATGAAAATCCGTTTCATTTCACTGTGTCCTCATGTTTAATGTTGATATTTGAATAACAAAAAAAATTGATTAGCAATTACGAAAATTAGGTACAAAACAAAATTAATTTTCTTAAAAAAAATTGAAATAAAAATGATATGGCGAGTAAATTTTAAACTTCTTTCGATTAATTAAACTGAGATAAAAAAGTAAATTGGATTTTTATGCTGCGTGTAACGAAAAAAGGGTACACTGCGTTTAGTTATCTTACAATAAAAATAAGTACGTGTGTATTAAAACATTTGAAGAAATATAATTAATTTACAGTTCATTGATAAAATTCATTACCTAGTTATAAGCATAATTTATAAATTATAATATCCTTTCTTTATTTACTTTCTCCACAAAATCAATAATTACGTTTAGTTCATTTCATTTGCAAAAAAATGTCAAAAAAAAAACTTGCCGCGCCGCCGCCATTCCACGGGGTGGAAACGCCATAGTGTTTGACAGATGGTTAGTCAAATGTCATTTCTAGGAGCATCCACATAATCTCAGCAAACATAGCCTGTAGGATTGGGCCAATTAAAAAAAAAAAGAGCATCCTTTACGTCAACTGTCATTTTAATGACATTGACAGGACCACAGATATGGATTAGAGGTATCCACTCATTCATTCGCTGATTTTGCTCGCTCATTCAATCAATCATTCATTCACTCAATTCTTTTCGAAATTCCGAGAAAAAAATCTTGATTCCGAAATATTCGGAAATAAAAGCAAACAAATAATGGTCATTTTACCGTATTTACATTGTTTACCGTATAAACCAGATGGTTTCTTAATATCACCAAATGCATCGTGACTGGTTGCTCGTCCACCAAGTCCAGGGTTTTTTCTCTAGCACGTGATGAAGCATTGCAGGCTCTAAGGATACAGTACCTCCTGCCTGCAAATCCTTTATCAGGAACTATGACAAAGGAGCAACTTCGTCAAAGAAAGGCAAGTCATATTTTTAGGTTATTAAACAACCTTCCAAATTGCTATAAAATTTGCTGCAATTTCCCTAGTACTGAACTGACTGATTTTTGTTTCAGGTCTGCCAATCACATTTTGAGGATAAATAAATCTAAAACAATCTATTGGTTATGACAATGATGAATGGATGTCCTATTTTTTATTTATCCATGAAGAAAATAATAACATCTCGGCGACCATCCAAGCTGTTGCTGATCAGGTCATCCAGTAAGTTAAAGTAAGTATATACCTAGATTCAACCATAAATAAGTGTTTTGCAAGTAATAATTTAATTAGTCTATACGATAAAGAAAGTTAAATTTTTTGATTTGACTAAAAAAGTAAACAATGTTCTTAATTAAGTATTACTTTTATTTTAAGATCAATCTACTTAGTCAATAAAACTAAAATAGAAAGAGATATTTTACTACATTTCAATAAAACAAATTATCCTTATTCTATTTGTTTGGATTAGGCACCAAATAAATTGTATTATTGACACGGTAACTTACCAATAAAAATAGAAACATTAATTTTAACATTTAAGATTTCAATACAGGATGTTGCAATAGATGATTATTTATATTTTTTTTCTTTCTAGCTGCTAATAGAGATAACTTCAATTCAATGTTGTTGCCAGATAATGCTGTGAGTGAAGGTATGTTCAACTCAGTTGTAAATAATACCTAAGTACTTTTAAATTGATGAGTCAAAGCAATACCTATATTAATTCTGCAAAGAAAACTCTTTCTTGAGTTATTTAAATTATATTGTTTTGTATGATAATTAATTGTACATTAAGTTTTACAGGATTTTGCCAATATATTTATATTTAGTAGAGGTTGCAGTATTCTATCTTATAAAACTATCTTTTTAAATTAATTTTACATAGTTATAACACAGGTTATACCATCATACTTAATTAATTTTATAGGTTTATTTTATGCTGATTTTTTAATTGTGTAATAAATTATAATTATGTTTTATTAAATATTTCAGAAACTATATCCTGCCATCTACATCAGAGCCACATCTGTCATTATGGATAATATTATTGCTGCGTCCTAAGGTATCATAATAATGTATTTAATTTATTTAAATTCCTACGGGAACGGGAGTAAGCGGGAAAAAACATTTGTATGAAAGAATCTAAACCGCGTAAGATAGATCAACGCACAGCGTAAACGGCTAAACCTAGGCACTTGAAATTTGGAAGGGACGTAGCTTAGGTACCGTAGAGATGCACTAAGAAAGGAATTCCTGAAATTCCCACGTGAACGGGAATTAGCGGGAAAAAACATTTGTATGAAAAAATGTAAACCGCGTAAGATACATGAAGAGGGTAAAACGAGATCCACGCGTACGAAGTCGCGGGCGACCGCTAGTATTCTTCTAAAATTATTAATATTAATTATTTTGATGCTTTTTTCAAAGAAGATAATTAATTTTAAGTAAGCGTTTATAATATGTTTAATACATGTGTCGGCGCCGGACACAGATCCTGCAAATTATTATTGATGATTAATAGTACCAATCTTAATATTATGTTATCTGTATAAATCTGTGGAGCGGAAGGTTTGTGATTCCTAAACGTAACACCCGACTAATGCGCAGAAAAAGGTAACTGTCAATCAGTTTTGTCATGTCAAGTGTGAGCAGGCGGCTGCGAGGTTATCTTTGAAAGCGTGTTGAGTTTGGTGCAACGTTAAATTGTAGGAAAAGTGATTGTCAATCATCCAAGATATTATCTCCTTGCCCGTTAACCCACGCCAATGGAGATTCCACCCCTAGAGTTCCTTCTGATAGAGACCCAGTGCCTTTACATGTATTATACTATTGTTATTAATTATTTCAGGTTCAGCTTGCAAATAAACCCATCAAGCAGAGGCGGTACACACAAACAAAAGGTGGACTCTTTGGTTTTTTTTAAACGGAGCCCGAAAGCGTATGAGCTATTGCGCCACATATTTATTTTGCCTAGTCAACGATCAAGAAAATGAAGGTATTGAGTGAAAAAACTGCCGCAATGATACAGCCCCAAATTTGGTAGGTTTGACAAACGCTCAATAATATCATTTAAATGTAAATTATGTACAGTCGAGTTCATAAATATAAGTGCAGTGCCAATTTAAAAAAATATTGTAAGCGTTTTAACGATCATACAAAACTAAAACAAATTCAGACAAATGTAATCATAAGCTGTTCATAAATATGTTGCGGTAACGCAGTATTGACTACGCTACTGCTCTATAATCTGTTGATAATGCGCATGTGCATATACCTTAAGTTGTAAAGGCATTAAAGGTTTATTTTCGTGCGCCACAATGACTGTGATTTCATGGATAAGTCCACGCATGCTGTTTTTGATAATATTAAATTGTGAAATAAATAAAAAAAATCTGCTCTTTACGTAAATCGATTAACTTACTAATAATTCTGAGTCGCTCATAAAAAATGGCAACACCTTAAAGAGCCACCCAGTATGTAGTAGTATTATCCTTAATAATATTGTAAATGTTACACCAAATTGAATCTGGTTTAATATGAAAGGAATAAGCGTCGACAAACATCACGTGCGGGTACAAGTCGCCAATTTGAGTTCTTTTTCTATTATTATAAACCGCCTATTCAGTCTGTTATTGGTGTTATTATTTGTAATAAGAATCATAATAATGTAATTCTAATTGTTTCAGATTCCGGCCCAGTGTATAGTTTTTTTAACTAAAGTTTTTTGTTATTTTTGCCTCAAGAATGTACTTATTGTGAATTTCTTTGTTAATGGCTGTATAGTTTTACTTGAGTCAAAGAAAATCCAGTTGTTGTATAAAAAAATAATTTATAAATCTATTAGGGTACATTTTACTGTCGTCTTTTTTTTTTAGAAACTTACAGTAGATTATTCACTTTTTTGGAAACTGATAATTACTTGTTAATACCATAATTTATTATGGAAAATTGTACTGTTAAGTAGGTAATTTTTTTTCATTACCTTATAGTAGATAATGTCTTTTGTTGATGGCTGTATAGTTTTACGCAAGTTAAAGAAAATCGTAGTATATTTTTTTCTACACAAATTTTAGTTATAAGATGACATTATTATGATTGTTTGTTTGTTTGTATTGAAGAGGCTCCGAAACTAAGTACTGGACCTAGGTTTTCTTTTATTTTTCTTAAAAACCTACAGTTGATGATTCTGTGAATTAATGACTGTATAGTTTTACTTACTAATAGTATTTCATAGTTTCCTAAGTTTATGGTGCTTACTTATAATTATCGAGTTCAGCGGATGATTTTTTATTCCATTATTATTTTGTAATTTTCCTTACGGAATAAGAAATCATCCGCTTGGTATAATATCTTCGAACGTGTAGATAATTCTAAGATGTACTTCATGTTCAGATTCTAAGATGTACTTCATGTTCAGACTCAAGTCCTCAAAAGATAGGACCACCTTTGTAATTTTGTCGATAGTTGTATGCATTAGTTTTTAAGTTGTATTTTTATGAAATAAATGTTTTAATAAAACTTATGTATTTGGTTTTTTATTTCTATAAATAATTTGAAATAATAATGTACCCGTACCGTTATTGGTGCGGTAACGTTACTCGTTATAAAATATATTAAAGCGGTACTGCAACGTCGCTAAGGCAGTCGTTATTAAAAAGTTACGATCTTTTTTTTTTTTTAGCGCTACCCAATGGAAGTCCATAGATGCCGGAACTTTTACTATGAACGGACCAATCATAGGGCCGTTTCCTATCTGTCCCTGTCTCATCTGTGCGCCATTCTTCTTGTCAGTAATTTTCGCCCGGCTTGTTGTATTTTTCTGAAATGTTAATGTAAAATGTGCTCCAAACTGACATAATAAGAATGCAAATTAGTCTCCCAGTGATAAGGCTACAATAGTTGCGATAATTCCTTTTCCCGAGGTAATTTAGCCATGTATTTTGTATCACTATACTTTTTCTATTATTTTTCTAAAATTACTCAGTTTTACCGTAATTCGGCTTTCTTAAAGGACCTTCAAGGATTGTAATAAGGTGTAATTAGTCTATTATTGCGTGTAGTCAGCATAGGTAGTGATTTAGAGTAATCTCCTATAATTTCATAGAATAGAATATTATTATCATAGACTTGCACATCTACATTTTATAAAATTAATTGTTTTACTTTTTATTTATATCAAAACTACAAATCCTTTACTATTTCATCAAACATCTAAAATTTAAGCCTAGGGCTTTAGGCTTTGCAATTTACAATTCCAATGTACTTATTAATTTTTTACAGATAACCAATATCCAACATTGAAATCATGGTCTACATATTAGGAGTTTGGTTTCCTAAAAGGCGGCTCGTGTATTTAGGGGCCTTAATACTCTACTTTGCAATATCCAAAACGTTGTTTGACAAAATATTCGCTACGAGCCACATAGTCATCGATGAGCTCTTCCACATACCCCAAGGAAAGGTATTCTGCGCTGGAAATTACAGCCACTACGATCCGAAGATCACCACACCGCCTGGCCTGTACGTCATCACCACAACACACCTCGGTAACATGTTTTTCTCATGCAACATCTACAATCTTCGATTCGCGAACCTGATGGGCTCATGTTTCAACTTCCTAATCATCATGTTCCTTTTAATATTAATTTATGGAAGAGGACTAGACATTTATTTACTAATGGCTCAAGTGTTCACGTTAAGTACACTCCCTCCGCTGTATTTCTTCTCTTTTGTTTATTACACTGACGTCTGGTCGCTGACGTTCTTGTTGTTGTATTCAGCAGTGAGTTCTTTAAATAATCGGCATATGTTTATAATTTCGTTTGGTATAACAGCTATCGCGATGCGACAGACAAATATCGCTTGGGTAATAATGTTTTTCGGCCATAAATGTCTGGAGGTTTTCATCAAAAGCTCCCGAGTATTCGGCAACCGAAACTTGACCTCTGTTCAGCTGGGTGAAAACTCTTTGATAGGACGAGACACAGATACATCGAAATTGAAACGCCATTATGAATTTGAAGACTTCTGGATTGCTCTCAAATACCATTCCGGCACATATTTGACGACGTTTTTTAAATATGTAACGCTCAGAGATGCAAAGACAATTGCCAGTCACTTGTTCATTATACTAACATTTGCAACGTTCCTTGTGTTCAACGGTTCTGTTGCTTTTGGTGATAAGCAAGCGCACGAGGTTACTATCCACATACCTCAGCTATTTTACTTTTTGCTATTCTACGGATTCTTTGGCCTACCGTTTGTGTTATCAAAGGTGCCGGATACGCTGAGTCTGATTTTCAGAAACAAAACTAGAGTTTTACTTATCGCATTGTTAATGTTAGCCATAGTACACGTCAACACTCTAGTTCACCCATATTTGCTCGCTGATAACCGTCACTACACATTTTACATCTGGAACCGCTGGTACGGTAAATACAATTTTGCCAGATACGTAATGGTGCCCATATACACGTTCCTTTTGCTGAATCTGTATGAGAACTTACGGAAGCATAACTGCGTTTCATTGTTGATTTCATTCTGTGTTAGCATTTTTATATCGTTGTGTTTCCAAAAGATGATTGAAATAAGATACTTTTTGGTTCCATACATGATTTGTAGGCTTCGTTTCCGACCACCCACGTACAAGTATGTAATTCTAGAGTTCTTGTGGTATTCTATTATTAATGTTGCCTTTTTCTATGTATTTTTCACTAAAGAAATTAAATGGGAGAATTTTGAACAAATGCAGAGGATAATATGGTAATAATTTTCGTTTCTTATATGATTTGATTAAATAATTTATTAAGATGTGTATGTAAATAACTAAAATGCATTTAAAAAGAAGACTAAAGCCCAGAACAAACGGTGAAACGAAACTGCAACTGCTAGTTACTTTGGAGTTGCATCTAAATTTCTGCCATAGCGTCCGTTGAGAGACCACACATGACGCGACCAGATTGAAAGTTTCAGTTTCATTCATCAGAATCCTCACAAAGTTGCAGTTTCGTTGCAGTTGCGTTTCACCGTCTGTTCTGGGCCTAAATATTATAGATCGCGCAGGGAGACTTGAGGCCATCAACACAAGCAAAGATTTGTATAAAGCCAGGTCCAGACCGGTGTAAATGGAATGTATCGTGTATGTAAATAGATCGTTTCATCCACGAAGACGCGCCCCACCAATTTTTGAGCGGGTGCGGGGAGTTTGATCCGAGCAATCCGAGCGGCATTATTGTAGTGTGCGTGTGCACTCATGGATAATTTAGCGCGTACCGGTAACACTCAAACATTAGCGAAAGAATGGTGGGGCGCGTCTTCGTGGATGAAACGATCTGTGTGACTGACAAGCGCTTTCTGTCTCTCTTGCACTCGTTATATTTAGCAAGAGCTAGGTAGCTAGTGTATTCGATATATTTTGAACTTGAATGTATGTGTGTTCCTGTATGCAAATATTACGTGAGTGAGTACCATAATATGAATTCGCCTCAATTTTCGTTGTGCGATCTATAATTTATGAGGATTCCAACGGATTAAAATAATAAAATCAAAATAATATCTCTGATTGCATATCGGATGTGTTATCAGATATCATCTAAGATAGTTCCACTACATCCGGAATTAAAATAATAATTAACATTTAGCCTAAAGTACGGCCAACTAGCAGCGATACAAAAGGTCGATTCGTTCGACTGTCGAACTGACAATCTATTCTGTCTCTTCCCATCTTGTGTATTTGTCGTAATGTCTCGTTCTCCCACCAAAATATGTCAAAGTCAAACCCCTGCTATTTCAAATGACCATGACATTGGGTTTGTTTACATTTGGTATCGCTTCTCGTTGGCCGTACTTTAGACGCAGACCACCAACTTGTTTCTCCACAACTCTACTCTTAAGCGAGGTTTAGACTATATTCTGGTCTGCGAGCACGTATAATTTTGACCAATGACCCCAAGCTACCCATCCTTATCGCTCGCGCGTAATTATGTTGCTTTCGCGCTCGCACACTCACTGCGGGCGCCCGGCGCACAGTCGCGACAGCAATATAATTACGCGCGAGCGATAAGGATGGGTAGCTTGGGGTCATTGGACAATATTCTACGTGCTCACGGACCCGGCTTTAAAAATCTGTAGTCAACAGGGTGTTATTGGATTAAGTTATAATAACAAATGGATGTTATTAGTTAGTAAAAAATAATGTTTTAGCTCTAGTCCCTAAGGCTAATAAAGAATTGTTATTTTTGAATAGATATCCCATATATTGGCGTACTTTAATTTAGTAAAGAAATTCAAAATCTTTAGTCTTTATAATATGTAATTTATGTAAAATATAGAACCTAGATGTACCCAAAAATATTACATAATATAAAATATTTTAATAGGTATGATGTACCATTAAACATGAAAAGAAAACTTCTAAAACATTACCCACCTTTGCGTTGCGCAGTCGGGTAAATATGCCACGATATTTTGAACCAGGGATGTTGTGAAAATTAAGTTAGAAAGAATAAATACAATATTTTTTCCAAATCTAAATATTGTAATAAACTGTTTAATTTATAAAAACAATGCATAAAGAGTCATATCGATAATTTATTTTGTTGTGATATTATTATTTAATTGTATTGTATGAATGATCTACGAATGATTTAAAATGTATGTAATAGTGCATGAAATGTGTTAATAAGTATGATAATAAAGAATTTGATGTGATATACGATTTTATTTACTTCCCTAAGGCACCTTCACCACAAATCCCAAATTTTTAAGTGACCCCTACGGTAACATAACAGGTCTTATAGTTCTTGCAATTCACGAAGGCGAGTGAGCTTTATTTGTGCGTGTTCATCTTCCTTACTAGGTTTTACAATAAAAATGACTAGTACAGTAATAAAATATTTAATTCTCTAAAATTGTACTTTACGATGTTGATTAAAACTTTTAAATAATAAATAATTTATTAATAACAAATGTTTATATCGTTTTCTTTACATTTTGGCATGTTTTTAATTTAAGTACAAATACTCTGTATAGGATGTTCTGTTTAAAAAATAATCACAATCACTACTTTAGTGGTAACGTAAATAAAAGTAACTATCACAATAATTGTAAATAAAAAAACTAACAAGTAACAACACTTGACAATAAGTAGGTAATTTACATTTTTCTCACGTAATAAAATGCATAATGTCTAGAGATGAAACGGATATCCGGCAACTATCCGGTAGGCCGGATATCCGGCCCTAATTTACTATCCGGCCGGATACCGGATAGTAACTCACTATCCGGCCGGATACCGGATATTAAAAAAAAAACGACAATCTCCTATTAATAAAATGAAATACATTAATCTTTGAGGTAAATATCAATAAAATGGCTTACAATAATGACGGCTTTTATTTAAAGTCCAAAAAGTTACAAAAAAGCCATATTAAGGCCTTTCAAAACTAATTTATTTTTCTGGGCTATTCTCTCTAATGACGAATACATAGATAAATAGTAAATGTCTGTTAATGTCGAAATATTGCCAAATAAAATAGGCGATTTTTTTTTCACTGATGGTCTGATGACATCATGCAACTACACTGGTCATCACAAAGATCGACCCTCCCGCGACAAGCACTTTCAAACGTATGCATCCTCACTTCCCACCAATATTGGCACCATTTAAAAGCCTAGTTCTAAACTTCATTTTTACCCCAAAAATGTGTCTGTAGAAGAATCCAGAGTCACTTCTTCAAAAAATAGGTAGTTACGCTTGAGCCGACTTTTATGGCTATAAAACTGTTAAGTTGGGATTAATCGCTATCCATCTGTTAAAGAGGACACGTGAGATCATTATTTGGTTTTATAACCATAAAAATTGGTCTAATTGATCCCAGAGGTAAGCCCAAAGTGAGGTCTTTTTTCAAGTCACATTTATTGTATATCGCGTTTATGTTAATCGTTTATTAAGAAATTAAATGTGTTTTTCTTTAAGGATATTTATTGGGCTGTCAAATAACACCAATATTGTTGGGGCACCATGACTGTGTCAGTAGAAACGAGTTTTACTGTAAAACGTAGGTGGGCCGATTTTTGTGATGACCAGTATAGTTAAATTTTCGCTATTCAATCACACACTCACGATTGCAGCCGAAATTGAATTGATCTGCCCCCTAGACAAGTGGCAAAATCTGACATTCTATTCGGACGGATTCGATTTTTCAAAAGTGTGACTAGTCTATTCTACTAATAGACCCACTGATCGCGTTCGAAGTACCTGTGCGGCACTATACTCGTCACGACATGCAACGAGACAATGCGCCAACTATCCGGCCGCCGGATATCCGGCTATCCGGCCTATCAGCTGGCCGGATATCCAGTATCCGGTATCCGGCCAAACAACTATCCGTTTCATCTCTAATAATGTCTTCAAACTTTACAATACAAATATAAATTTTAACAAATACTTCTGATTAGAATGCTAGAGAAACATCAATTAAGATGTCGTCGGAAAACAGCTTCAAACGGCGTAAAAATGTCTCAAAAACCGAGGTTTACACTAGCAATAAAACTTACAGAAGTTGACTTCCGCAAGCTGTCACCACCGTGCAAATCTTGCAAGAGTTATCTTGCCACAGTTATTTTTCATTCATGAAGACGCGCCCCACCATTCTTCCGCTAATGTTGAGTGTTATCAGTACACGCTAAATCATCCACGAGTGCACACGAACACTACAATAATGCCTTACGGATTGCTCGGACTACACTCCCCGCACCCCGCGCGACCGAGACCAAAAATTGGTGGGGCGCGTCTTCGTGGATGAAACGATCTATAAACAGCTTGCGGAAGTTAACTTCTGCCAGTTTTATTGCTATAGTCTGGTCTGTGAGCACGTAGAATTTTGGCGACTGTGCGACGGGCGCCCGCAGTGAGTGTGTGAGCGCGACAGCAATATAATTACGCGCGAGCGATAAGGATGGGTAGCTTGGGGTCATTGGACAAAATTCTACGTGCTCACAGACCGGGCTTTAGTCTAAACCTCGCATAAGAGTAGAGTTGTGGAGAAATTTTCTTTCACCAGTTGGCGCCACTAGCGAGAGATAAGACCGTACTCGACAATGGCGCCAACTGGGAGCAAAATCTGTAGCTCATTGACTTTTTTCAGTTTTAACAATGTTTCGGCGCGCCGTAGTCACTCTAGAATCATTGGAAGTTTGAATCCATCTGTATTTTAACAAAAAATTACATTCATGACAACAAGCAAATAAAATAACTCAATATAAACGTTCACAATACTTTCAATTACAAATAAATTCGATAATTTGTACATAACATCATTATAATAAAATCACGTTGTAATTAACATCAATTAAAATTATATAAATGTATAAAACTAATAAATAACACTGGTATTAAAGTTCAAAATTAAATAATATAGGTACAGTCAGCGTCATATAGTTCGTGACACCCAAAGTAGCCAAGAAATTCGCAACACGTCTTTGTTACAATGAGGGCTATCGTTTTAGCGCTCACCAGTTGGCGCCACTGTAGAGTAAGGTCCTGTCACTTGCTAGTCGCGAAGACAGTGGCACCAACTCGTGGGCGCTAAAGTGGTAGGAGGACTATCGCATTTGCACTCATCAAGATGGCGCCACTGTAGAGTAAGGTCCTGTCAATCGCCAGGGGTGCCAACTGTTAAGTATAAAAACGATAGCCCTCATTGGAATGGTTGTGTTGTCAACTTTTTGCCCACTTTGTGTGTCACGAACTATTTAACGCTGATACATAAGTATATTTTATATAAAAAAAAGTTTAACATACCACGGGGTAACAATATTCGTTTGTTAAAACTTAAAATATCTTGCCACTCATGCTAGATCATATCTATTTCATTACGTATTATAATTACATACAAAAGAAAGATTCAATACACTAAAATAATCAACTTTTCTTCTTTCTTTATATTAATGATTATATTAAATAAACCTTTTAGTCATAAAAATAACACCGTTCTAAATATGCGTACGATTTTGTCTTTTTTTTCGTCGTAATTTACAGAATTACAGAAAAAAATAATACAAAAACCAAAAACAAAGGAAAAATAAAAATGCTAATGAGTGGGCCATAGTTCCAGCTACCAATTCCCGATTTTTCTCTCGCTCTATCAAATGGCGATTCTTTGCGATAGAACGAGACGACATGACCGGTAATGGGTAGCTGGAAGTCTGGCCCATAGTACCTACCTAGGTAAGTATACTTATGCCTGTTTTCACCATCAATCCCTAATTTTTAAGTGACCCCTACCTATGGTAACACATAACAGGAATTTTGTTTTCACAGTGGTCACTTAAAAATTGGGAATGAAAACGGGCATTAGTCACACATTAACGTTTTTATATCAATGAAAGGATAGTGTTTTTTTTATTAATAAGATTCATCTATTTTATTTATTAATTAATTATTCGTGTAAAAGTCACTTATGGTCAATAATCAATATAAATCATTTCAAAATTGCTAAAACTTAAAGATGCATCTAACAAAGTCGATTTTTGAGATTAAAAATATAAATCAAAAAATTCTACTTTTAACATGGACCTATAAAAAAAGTCGGACGGATTCTCATCAACAAAATACTGTGACATTAGGATACACCAGCTTGCCTGTACGTACAGGCCGGCACGCACACATTCACACCCTGATACACCACTTCGAGTGCAAACTTCACACAGTTGACACATTTAAGCAACGAAAAAACAACACGAATACTACATGTCTTGTGTGATGAAATTGTGTAAAAATCGTTCTGTTCGAACAAACAAAAATTAAGTAATCACATTTCACAGGCAAAATAATAATCCAATCACTTATTTCCCGACATTAAAATATTGAAATTAATTGAAATCAAACGTCATTCACTCGAAAAAATAATACGTCAAAGACCAGTGTTCTCAGTTATTTACGTGGGAAAATTACCCGAAATATGGGAAATTAATAATAATTTTAGGACTTTTTAGTTATTTATTACGCATACTATGGAAATAAAATAATTTATCATAATAATTGTGTTTTAATGGGATATATTTTCATAGGCAAATTTGATCCTTCCCAAAAATGTGGAACTGCGAAATTCAAATTTTCTTACATTGATTGCAAGTCAGTGTCAGGTTGTATGTTAAAAAAAATCTATCAGAGATAATAATAATATATTGATGATGCATAAGATTATGATTATAATGTACACAAGATTCGTAATTTGTAACTGCGTGAATCATTTTTGATCAACATTATGTACATACCCTGACACACTGACTTGCAAACAAAGTAAAAAAATTTGAACATTGAAAATTTCGCGCCTACCTCAACGCATTCACCTTTCATCCTTTTAAAATGGCCCGGAATAATTCTGTCTACATTTCCAAGTACCATCTGCCGATCTATGTTTTTCTTAAAATAAATGGGTAAAATGTTTTGGCTAACATGGCATCCCTAAATTCACTCACACAATAGACAAACGCCAAAATTTTGCGTCACAGTTTTGTTGTAGCGCGAGTTCCGTCCGCCTTTTTTTATAGGTCCATGACTTTTAAACATCAATCTTTGCGTTGCAGTACGGAGTTTCATACGAAGAATACTGACCACCTCGAGTTGATACGGTTACGATCTGTTTCCGGGTTGATAAGTGTGTTTCGTCCTTAAATCCATAATTATTTCCCATCATTCTGCTTAAATACAAATCTGATGAACATGACTTAACTTTCCCGCCAAAAAAATCATTTTTTTTATATAGAGGGTGGAATTTTGTAATGCCACCTGAAGGGAAAGTACTCTTAACACTGTAGATAGTAAATTTTACTCAAAGATTTTCAAAAATTTGCTTGCTACACTCGGGAATCGAACCAACTAAAATCTGTTAAAAATTACACCCTGTATTTTTATTGCATCGATCGTTAGGGTTAAGTATAAGGATAAGGATGAAATCTCTCAAACAAACTTGATAAATCAAATAAAAGGAAAACTATGATATCAAAATTATTGTAATTATTTACAGAAAATTGTATGGTAATTGTATTGTATCGAAAAAAATTCGAAAATCTTTGAATGCAGTTCTCTTTCTTTTCAAAAATAAAGGAATGTCTTCTTTGAGTAAAATTTTCTATCTACAGTATTAAGGGTACTTTCTCTCCAGGTGGCATTACAAAATTCCACCCTGTATTTCTAACCTCAAAAACGACTATAACAACGGCAAACGGCATTACAGACTTCTAAATGCTATATCTCACTATTCTGTATTATAACTGGACGACTATCTATTTTAACTATGTCTTTATATTAAAATGCATTTATCACACATTAATTAACTTCTCACTTGGAATATAACTTTCGATTTTAGTCGGTTATTTCACAAACTACAATAATGTAGCATGAAAATATGTATATTGTAACACAAATAAAAATACTGGGTGTATTTAATATGTAACACAAAAAATAATTAAATTCTTTAACTGTGCACCAAGAACTAAAACCTTTCGAAAGAAGGAATTACTTTTTTCTTTTGTCGTTAGATTGGCAGCATTGAATCATGGCTGCCGTATTTCCGTTCACCAGTTGGCGCCGTTATCGAATTACTTATTCGCCGATGGCGCCAAGTGGTTCATTATCACCACAGTCAATTGACGTACTTTTAAATGTACCAAAACGCGATTTCCCCGTAATTATGTACGTAACACAAATGACTATAATCATTGCTTGATTTTAAACCTTCAAATAACTAAAAAATATATTGGGATTAAGCTTAAAGTTCACTGGTATTAATTACCCAATGAAGGCTTCAGTGTTTTAGCTCATCAGTTGGCGCCAAAGTCTTAGCCACTAGCGAATGACAAGACTTTGCTTGACAATGGCGCCAACTGGTAAACGATCAAACTATACGTCTCATTGACTGTGGTGTTAAAACGCTCAAACTATAGGTCTCATTGATTGAAGTGTCAAGTTGACGTGTCGTCAAGTTGACACTGTCAACTGGTCACTTGGCGCCACTAGCGAGTCGGTACTGTACTTCGATAAAGGCGCCAACTGGTGAACTCAAATACGGTAGCCCTCATTTTACTGTTTTTTTATTAACTTGTAAAATGGTGGTTTTCGAAACACTAATATTTCACAGGTGCACAGTTAAAAAAATTGGTTTATAAATAAAAAATATCTCGTTTGGTAGCTTTCATAAAGCCTTCCCATAAACAATCAATTCGTTCACAACAAAAAAAACGTCCTATAAACTTCTATTCTTAAAGAATAGACAAACAAATGTTAGACTAGCACTGGTAACTTTAGTTTTACAGTTTAACTATTGTTTAACTGCATCGTCGTTGTAACATAACTCAAGTCATCTCTATGGATTAGTGATAAGACCTTTACCTACTCAGAACATACACATTACTCACTGTGAGACCTCATAGTAATGTTTGTGAATACGGGTGTAAGTCCGGTAGCTACCTAAATCTGTCTACATATAAACAATGTTAACAGCATTGTTGTTCCGGCAGTTGGAGGTAGGATAGCCAGTTCCTCTGTGGTTGAGGATTCCGGGTGAAGCTCCTTAACTCCGGCCTAATTTTCTAAATTCTTTTCCTCTCTCTGGCCTAAAATTCCATCAGGTGAGTTGTTGACCACAAGTTTATACACAACAATGCTGTTAACATTATTATTGTGTAGACGTCACAGTGAGGTTTTTTTTGATTTTAAAGTAAATTTTTATTTCTACTCTGCTAAAATTGGAAGTCCTCGTGAATGGATATTTACAACTGCTCTGTTCATTATTTCTTTTACTACTGTTTGTTTTAATGTTCCTATTTATATCTATTTGATTTTTTCGTCTTTTTTCTCCTTCCACTTTCTGTTACTTTATTTTTCCGTGTTTTATTATTCTTCTGTTATATTTTTAAATATTTTCATGTGATGTCCCATTGTAAAAACATTTAATTTGTTATTTCTTGTCTTTTTCTGATATTATAATTAGTATTTCTTTTTTTTTCTTGTCTTTTTTCTCATAAATATGAAGTTAAACAACGAAGTCTAAGTCCTAAATCCATTTAACCATGTTTTTTCTTTTTTCTTGTCTTTTTTTCTATTATTTTACTTTAACTGGTTTTATATCCACTTGTCTTCTTTCCTCGCACCGTTTAAAAGCGGCGTCGACTCGATCTCCTTGCAGTCTCCTTTGATTGGACTGATGTCTGATTTTCCGTTCATGTATTTGACCATATTGGAGTTAGAGACTATGTAGGGAATACCTGATAGGTCGGAGGACAGAGGATTGTAGTACTGACGGTAGCAGAACACTGCTGTCGTGAAGCCGAGGATCGATCCGACTAGGACGTCTGGAAATTAGAAATAAATACATAATTATAATCATGTTCGGACGTAGGACTTCCACCCACAAGATAGACCGACGACCTCATAAAGGTAGCGGGAAGGCGCTGGATGCAGGCCGCTACTAACCGGATATTGTGGAAATCAATGGGGGAGGCATATGTTCAGCAGTGGACGTCCTGTGGCTGAAATGATGTTCATAGTTTATCATCGTTTTAATTAATAAATAAGGTTTTTATTTTTACTATTTGCACCATTTTATGGAACGCATTCTAAGTGCATGCGGTTCCTAAAGACTTTTATTATTTTATATTTTTATTGAACTAACAGTATTTGTGAACTTAAAAAATGTATTAAACTAGACCGAATAAAAATTCAAACTAGAGTTTTTTAATTGCTCTCACCAGTTGGCGCCCAATGGTGAGTAAGATCCTGTCCCTTGTTACTGGCGCCAATTGGTGAGCGACGAGCGTTGACCGACTTTTAGTTGGCCGATAGTTGGGTCGGGCTGTGAATCAGTATGGACATTTATGAAAGTGCGCACATTACACCGATTTGGTATCGGCTGATTCTTCAACAACTTAGAATCGGGCCCAACTATCGGCCAACTAAAAGTCGGTGGTCTGCGAATCAGTAGCGGCGTAAGGGGTGGGCGGTGGGGGCGGTCCGCCCCGGGTGCCAAGCATCAAGGGGTGACACAAGTCGCGCAGATTAGTACTCACTGGCGCATCTGCATGGCAAGTCTGCGGTCTATGTCATGATACGGGGGGGGGGTGGGGGGTGCGATTGTCTTTCAATCTTTGAATCGCTAGTTCACCCCAAAATTCTGGGAGGGTACCAGGGGGTGCCTTAGGACTTATGACGGGGGGTGATCGCCCCGGGTGCCAAGCCATGCTACGCCGCCACTGCTGCGAATAGGCCAACTGGTTAACGTAATTAAGGAAACCCTTTATCCATTAAATTTGATATTACATTGGGAAAGGGGACGCACCCAAAAATGTTTTTCTTTCCACTTACCCTGCCAATGGTGGTGGTAGTCGCAAGTCCTGGACAGCGCGATGCAGGCTGCAGCCACCAGCGGCGCCAGGCAGCAGACTACTCGGGCACCGCTGCCGCGCCCGCGAGAAAGAACGCCGAGGCGACCGCAGAGCCAGACTGAAGCCACTCCAAGAGAGCACCAGGACACTAGAGGAGAGAGTGAGACAGCCGCTTTCAAACACGTAGAAAGAGTACGCCTGTTGTAAGAGAGAGAGCGAGAGAGAGAGATAGCTAGCTATAGAGAGTAGGAGCATTAGAAATCAGTGAAACACCAGCGGCGCCAGATAGGACTCCAAGGCGACCGCAGAGCCAGACTGAGGCCACTCCAAGAGAACACCAGGACACTAGAAGAGGTGTGAGGGAGACTTATGATACTAGAAGAGCCTTGAGTGAGACTTTTAGAGCACTTTCAGACAGCTGTTTACACACATAGAGTGAGAGAGAGTCACTCTGACCACGACACTAGTAAGAGTGAGTATTCGAGGTTGAAACTAATACTTAGAGCGAGACAGTCGCACTAATGCCATGCCCATAAAGCACTAGCATAGGAGCGGTGGAAGCTGAATTTTTTCACACACAGCACAATTGGCCGCAGTCACACTACGACTAGTAGGGGCAATGTTACACACACCGCACAAATGGCCGCAGCCCCTAGTAAGATTGGAAATCTCATGAGACTGCGACACTGTCAGCAATAGTAAGATGCAGGCCGCAGCCACCAGCGGCGCCAGGCAGCACACTACTCGGGCGCCGCTGCCGCGCCCGCGAGAAAGAACGCCGAGGCGACCGCAGAGCCAGACTGAAGCCACGCCCAGGGAGCACCAGGATACTATAGGAGAGAGAGAGAGACAGCCGCTAACACACATAGAAAGCGAGTGAGAGAGAGAGAGAGTAGGATCATTGGAAGTGTAGTAAGCCACGATACTAAAAGAGGCGTAAGTGAAAGACTAGCACTTTCAGATAGCCGCTTACACACATAGTGAGTGAGAGAGAGAGAAAGTCACCCTGAGGAAATCAAAGCCAGACGGATGCCACTCCGAGAGAGCACCAGGATACTAGAGGAGAGAGTGAGACAGCCGCTTTCAAACACGTAGAATAGTGTAAAATCATGATGGAGAAGGAGTGAGTGAGACACGCGCTTTCAGTCATAATTAGAGAGAGAGAGAAAAAGAGTATGGGTATTGGAAGTCTAGTGTGAGCCACCAGCGGCGCCAGGCAGCACACTACTCGGGCGCCGCTACCGCGACCGCGAGAAAGAACGCCGAGGCGACCGCACAGCCAGACGGAAGCCACTACAAGAGAACACCAGGACACTAGAAGAGAGAGTGAGACAGCCGCTAACACACATAGAGAACGAGTGTGTGAGAGAGAGTAGGTGCATTAGAAGTCAGTGGACTCCAAAGCGACCGCACAGCCAGACGGAAGCCACTCCCAGGGAGCACCAGGACACTAGAGAAAGGATAGAGTGAGACAGCCGCTTACACACATAGAGAGCGAGTGTGAGAGAGAGAGAGTAGGATCATTAGAAGTCAGTGGACGCCGAGGCGACCGCACAGCCAGACCGATGCCACTCCGAGGGAGCACCACAATACTAGAGAAAGGATAGAGTGAGACAGCCGCTTACACACATAGAGAGCGAGTGTGAGAGATAGAGTAGGATCATTGGAAGTCTAGTATGAGCCACCAGCGGCGCCAGGCAGCAGACTACTCGGGCGCCGCTGCCGCGACCCCGAGAAAGGACGCCGAGGCGACCGCACAGCCAGACCGAAGCCACGCCCAGGGAGCACCAGGACACTAGAGGAGAGAGTGAGAGAGAGTCACTCCGACGTCACGCTGAGGAAATCAAAGCCAAACTGATGCTGAGTGAGACAGCCGCTTACACACATAGTGAGTGAGAGAGAGAGAGTCACTCTGAGGAAATCAAAGCCTGACGGATGCCACTCCGAGAGAACACCATGACACTAGAGAAAGGATAGAGTGAGACAGCCGCTTACACACATAGAGAGCGAGTGTGTGAGAGAGAGTAGGTGCATTAGAAGTCAGTGACACCAGCGGCGCCAGGCAGCACACTACTCGGGCGCCGCTACCGCGACCCCGAGGCGACCGCAGAGCCAGCCTGATGCCACGCCCAGGGAGCACCAGGACACTAGAAGAGAGAAAGAGTCACTCTGACGTCACGCTGAGGAAATCAAAGCCAAACTGATGCCACGCCCAGGGAGCACCAGGACACTAGAAGAGAGAGTGAGACAGCCGCTAACACACTTAGAGAGCGAGTGTGTGTGAGAGAGAGAAGGAGCATTAGAAGTCAGTGGACGCCGAGGCGACCGCACAGCCAGACTGATGCCACTCCTAGGGAGCACCAGGACACTAGAGAAGGAGAGAGTGAGACAGCCGCTTACACACACATAGAGAGCGAGTGTGAGAGAGAGTAGGTGCATTAGAAGTCAGTGGACGCCGAGGCGACCGCACAGCCAGACCGATGCCACGCCCAGGGAGCACCAGGATACTATATGAGAGAGAGAGAGACAGCCGCTTACACACATAAGAGAGCGAGTGTGAGAGATAGACTATGATCATTGGAAGTCTAGTATGAGCCACCAGCGGCGCCAGGCAGCAGACTACTCGGGCGTCGCTGCCGCGCCCGCGAGATAGAACGCCGAGGCGACCGCAGAGCCAGACGGAAGCCACGCCCAGGGAGCACCAGGACACTAGAAGAGAGAGTGAGAGAAAGAGTCACTCTGACGTCACGCTGAGGAAATCAAAGCCAAACTGATGCCACTCCCATAGAGCACTAGCGTAGGAACGTTGGAAGCTGAATTCTTTACACACACAGCAGAAGTCTCATGAGACTGCGACACTGCCAGCAATAGTAAGATGTAGGATGCTTCTCCGAGGGAGCACCACGATACTAGAGAAGGAGTGAGTGAGATAGCCGCTTACATACATTGAGCGAGTGTGAGAGAGAGAGAGTACGAGCATTTAATCCTGAGAAGAGTCCAAAAATCCTGAAATCTCAAGATAAGTCCTGAGATATGGTAACCCTACATTGACACGACTCTGGTAGGAACATCACAAACCCAGATAGCCAGACGAATACCATGCAGAGGGAGCACGATACTAGCATTGATGTTAGACTAGACCCCTTATTTACATGACACAGTTTAAGATCGACTTTCCTCCAGAGTAAAGTTAATGAGAAATGACAAACAATAGATCTACTTGCCTGCTACTTTTAATGTTCTTGTAAGCATTAGTAAGTGTCTTAACCTTGAGTATATTATAATAGCTCAGTAACATACAAATACACTAATTAATTATGCGAGGCAGGCATAGCTAAGCTAATTACTGATTGATATGTAAATAAGTGTCTGTCTGCAAAAATACATATTATAGGTTAACGGAGTCAGTGCCTGAGGTATTATATATGAGGAGCGGAACGGGAGGGGTGCGGCACTATTCCCACCTCTCGTTCCCTCCGCTGCAACTCCTGTGTAGCCAGGATCTACAGCTTGACCGCCATAAAAACCCAACCAATGAAGGTAGTTTGTCCCGGGGGAAAGTTAAACTGTCATTGGACCCGCAACGAAATTAATCAGAAAAATATAGGAGGAGTTCGAAATTAAGGTTCGACACGGGAGAGGTAACATGTCAACATTATGACGTGACAGAGCGTATAAATCTGAATACATTTGAAGTCTCGCTAACGTTTGATGTCTCAAAAACACCCTCCCGTGCCGCTCCCAGACCTCAGGCACTGACTGAGTTAAACGTTACACCTATATAGTCCGGTCGCCGAGCACGTAGAATTTCGTCCAATGACCCCAAGCTACCCATCCTTATCGCTCGCGCGTAATTATATTGCTGTCGCGACTGTGCGAAACATAATTACGAGGCTTACGAGCTACCCAGCTTGGGGTCATTGGACGAAATTTGACGTGCTCGGCGACCGGGCTTTACATAGTTTACTCACAACTGCTATGTCCGCTCGGGAAAGACTTGCGACCGTCCATAATTTCCATGGGGTCCCCGTTGCATTGCATGTCTTCGGTCTCTATACCATCTTGGAAGCAGCGGTAGAAGAAGTCTGGCCTGGGACGACCTGGGTCAAATCAAAACAAATAAAAAAATATTCTGATGTTTAGGCAATAATACTGTAGTTTCATCAAAATTCGTTCAGTAGTTTTTGCGTAAAAGGGCAACAAAACAAACATTATACCTTTTACCATTTTCCTTACAAACTTTCGCGTATAATATTATTAATATTAGTAGGACACAACCGTATTCACAAACATTACTATGAGGTCTCAGTGCGCGTGGACGCACAGGGTGACACGCGAACCAATCAAAGAGCTCCATTCAACGCTGTGAGTTCGATTTGCTGATTCACTTATGCAAGCATAGTTTGCGAATACGGGCGTTAGGCCCTTTCCAGGGCACTTATACACGTCCTAAATATAGCTTGCCCTACCACCACTTCGGGACAACATATGGGGTGGTGCTGAGAAGAAGTGGCGGAAGAAACTCAGTCACTTTGTCAGGTAAAAACTGATCATAATGTTCAGCTCACAATCAAATAGACTTCATTTGTTTAGACCGGCGCTCTCAAAAGCATGATCTTCCGGTTTTTTCTTTCATTTAAATATATGAGGTCGGTTCCATAAAGTAAAATAAAACATAAGAAATGAAATTTTACGTGCCTGCTATAAGTTTTATAATGTCCGTTAGAACTCCATTTATGCCAAGCGCCAGAGACCATGCCAGCAGGATCTGAAACGAATAATTACATTTTGTCAAATACACACACAAATTGTTGACCAATGGATCACAAATCAAAGATCCTTTTGCAGTTGCGCCTGGCACGTAAGACTCCTTATTGCGTGAAGACTCCAAGTTTTCATGCAACCCGCGTAAGAATTGGTGGGTCACAGATAAGTGTGTGCAGCCAGTTGGCCCCACTATCTGAACCACAAGCAAGTAACAGCACATAATTCGCTAGAGGCGCCAACTGGCTCAAGCAAGTGACAGTATCATTCGCCGGAGGCGCCAACTGGTGAGCGCAGTTAAGGAAACCCTTATTGATTGGTGGTGTCGAATGTTATTGCTGTTAGTTTTTAATGGGACATAAAGCGTCAGATTTTTTGATAAATATTGGATAGTGTGCCGTTTTAGCGCGGCGCTATAGCAAGTACCTATAAAGTAACATGGCGCCGCAACGCACGTGTGCTCGCCACAGATATTTCTATGTAAGATGACGCAGCGACATCGCTCCGGCGTCGTACCTTCGCCGCAACGCATGGTGTTTTCAACGATTGAGTGAGACAGCAACAACGTAGAGAGATGAGCGCAGTCTGCTGGCCTAGGAGCTGATATCCAAGTCACACTAGCTACTATCCTACCTCCAGCGCGTCGCTGCAGTCGTTACAAGCCGCCCAGGCGAGCAGCGAGAGAGCGCACGGCACCGACAGCACCACCGCCCAAAGCAGCCCGCCCGGCACGTAAGACTCTTTGCGCGGGTACTGTGCAGACTCCGGGCCCGACTGGCGGCACACAGCTGTGGTTCCATGTAGCTGGTCTGACCAGCTTCAAGACAAATGTGCGCTGCCAGTTGGCGCCACTGTCTAAGCCACAAGTGACAAGTGACACAAGACAAGTGTGACAGGGCCTTACTCACCAGCCAGTTTGCGCCACGGTCTAAGCCACAAGTAAATGACAGGTCCTTTCGCCAGAGGCGCCAACTCGGCGCAATTAAGAAAACCCTCATTGACTGGTGGCGTCGAATACTATTGCTGTAAGTTTCTTAAAGCGACAAAATGTCAGTATATTTTTTGTCATATTTTTGGATAGTGTGTCACTTTAGAGCGGCGCTGTAGCAAGTACCTATAAAGTAACGTGGCGCCGCAACGCTCGTGTGCCCACCACGCACCACAGATATTTCTATGTAAGATAACGCAACGACATCGCTCCGGCGTCGTGCCTTCGCCGCAATCCATGGTGTGCTTGACTATTATCACTGGGTGCCTTATTTTCAACGATTGCGCAGTCTGCTAGCCTAGGAGCTGATATCCAAGTCACACTAGCTACTATCCTACCTCCAGCGCGTCGCTGCAATCGTTGCAAGCCGCCCAGGCGAGCAGCGAAAGCGCACACGGCACCGACAGCACCACCGCCCAAAGCAGCCCGCCCGGCACGTAAGACTCTTTGCGCGGGTATTTGTACGTAGACTCCAGGTCGGATTGGTGGATCACTCGGACGAAGGGCGGCATGGATTCCATGTAGCTAGAATTTAAAGCAATAAAAGTCATTTAATTTTTGTAAAGCGCTTTTACATGTACCACTTAAACCCTGCACTGCTTCAGAACAATAATATGGATCAATATTTTAAGGCACAACTCTAAAATAAAACTCTATTCTAGCTATAAAAACTTAGTTCGGCTTCAATTCAGTTTCAAAGATATGAATTAGATTTTTAGTTTTTAAATGATTAATATTGAGTCATTGAGGACTTCCGTATTTGCGCTCACCAGCTGGTGCCATTGCGAGAACGGACCTCTTCCTACTAATATTATAAATGCGAAAATTTGTGTGGATATGTCTGCAAGTTTGTTACTCTTTCACGCAAAAATTACTGAACGAATTTTGTTGAAACTTTACAGTATTTTTTGTTTATAACCCAGAATAACATATAGGCTATAATTTATGACGATCTGTAAAGCTGCGGGCAAAAGCTAGTACTTAATAATGGCTCCAACTGAAGTGGTGTAGGATTAGACTCCATTTGCACCAGTTGGCGCCACCGTCAATTCTATCTGAATCTGACATTCGTTGGCGGCGCCAACTGGTGAAGGGAAATACGGTAGCCCTTACTATGTCGGCGAAATAGTTACTTTATTTGAAAAATAGGAGAGAATGTGAATTGAATGTATGTAACAGCTTATAAAAAAATAACAATTTAATCAATCAAAAATCAAAATCAAAAATATTTATTCAGTTTAGACCACAAGTGGCACTTATGAAGATAATTTAACTCTATTTAGAAAAATATTTGTTTTAATGGAGTAAAGATTTTACCTCACCAAAATTAGAGGAATCTTACAGGGTCAATATTTATGATGCATGTTTTGTATGATAAAATTTTTTTTGGCTAAATTGCTTTTAAAATATTTGTGTAGATTATTTGCTCTCATCGCTCTGACTGTGTCATCAATTCACAAGAATTAATGCTATACTTTCTACTTAACATAGTTTTTTATGAAGTGTAATGAATAAAAAGCTTTTTGTTTTTGGAAAGATAAATAAACAAAATATAGCTCTTAACATTGTACTTTAACAAGGGGTCAGATGTTTTGTTACCTCCAATTTTTTAAGTAGTTTGGAGCAAAGGAATATAAATAAAAATTGATATCAATCAATATTTTGTCACCTTTTGACTGAGTTTGAAGCTGCTGGAAATCTATTTTTAATACCAATTGTGTCACTCTGAACTAAAATTGCTATTATTTTTAAAATGAGTCATTGTATAAAATATGTAAAGTAGTAAATGTAAGTAATTAAATATTTATGAATAATTAACATACATTGGTGTCCATAAAAATTACCACCTCTGCTGAAATGAATGACACTCGAGGGATTCGAACCCACAGCACAGTGGTGTTGCAGTTTGAATGTACCGTTGCACCACCAGATATGTAGCATTAAGGAAAACATGCTTTATGACAGTAAAATATTAACATTATCATTCCAGTAATGATCTATATGGGTTCTGAATAACCATACAAATATAAATATCTGTAATGTTATCAATTTAGCATGAGTATTTGACGTTATCAGTCTGTTTAATTACAGATAAGACATTTTACAATACCTGCCGTTTTCCACTAAATTTGACATTGCACGTGTACAAACAAGACAAACAAAAAGTAAACAACAACTTAAAAATTGATTCAAGCTATACTTTATGACGAAACATGGTAAAATACAGTTAAATACGGTATGGAGTATAGAAGTTTTATAATAGATTTTGACTTCTTTTCTCGTGGTTAGGACGAACTAAGAACTGTAAGAGGCTAAATAATACTTAAACTTACAATAACATTGCGAAATTTAGTGGAAAATACGGAATTTCAGTGATGAAAACTAAAAATTGCGAAAACATAACGTAAGCAACATACTGTTGCAACTTACCAGAAAGCGGAGACCAAAGCTATCCGAACTAGAATTTCAACGAATAAATTAAAGTTTGCGGAACGTACTAAAGGCATTTTTGATCACCAAAACACAGTTTTCAGCCAGAATTAAATAGTTTTGCGAACTTCGCAACGCGACACGGACTGAGAATTTTGACGGCTGAGTCATCCGTTCAGAAATTTTGCAACACTGCAAACTGTCAACGTCACCGGTCGTGTCAGATTTCTGAACGAAATTGCGTTTCGTTATGGCACTTGACGTTTCTGCAAAAAGTTTATATTCGCTTAATATTTTAAATTAATAATAATGGTTAACCTTTTGAGCGCCATGTAAGATAATATTATCCAAATCTTAACATTTCGTAATAAACGTACATAAACAGATATAATAACTTTATTTTGTGCATATTTTCAGATAATTTTTAAAGAGTAGTTTGTTTATTTTCAAAACAGTAAATAAAACTTTCTTACTATTCCAGGCTTAGAGAATCTAGTCGTTAATTCCTCAATGATTCCATGCCAAATAGCTTCGCGCCTGATATGGGTTGCATGGCGCTCAAAAAGTTCGAAAAATAAAACACTTGATAAGTATTTTGTGATAACTGTATTTCAGAAGAAAAATAAATAAAATGTATCATACTTTAACAAAATAAAGGTTTAAGTACAAGAACATAAAAATAAGCAACAATTTATTGTTACATTTCATACAATCACACTATTGTCTCTAAAAATATTTCATTTTCGTAAGCTACAGAAATGCTGTGAGAAAATACTTAAAAGTAACAAAAACCGGTTTTGCAACAGTCAAAGTTAAGAGTAGGCGCACACCGTTGATTATTCGTCGACCGATAGTTTAGTCGGGCAGTTGATCAGTATGGGCATGTATGGGAGTGCGCACACTAGGTACGCGCGCGCCGATTTGATTTGGCCGATTCTTCATACAATTTAAAATCGGGCACAACTATCGGCCAACTAAAAATCAACGGTGTGCGCCTACTCTAAAAGTTATTCGTCAAACCGTAAAATCTTATTAAATTAATACAATAATAATTATTTTAAACTTATGACTATGCTGAAAATCTTCTTTTTTATAACTTTTATTTAATAATTGCAAAACCAATTCAGAAGTTGTACCTTAAACTAATTACTTTTTCTTACTTACCTATTAAATAATATTCATCTTGTGACTATAACAGACTTATACAATTTTTATCATATCAAAATATTGTTTTCGATGAAAGATCGTATAAATGCCGATTATAAATACATATTACACCTAATTTACAGATCTTTATACCTCAATTTGACAGTATCTTAAAGGCTAGACCGCTTAACTCAGTCACTACTGTGGGTCTAGACAAAGTGCAAATTATAATCGCAAACCAGTCGAAAAGTGGTCGAAAAGCCCCTTTTTTGTATGGAGTTTTGACGGATTCGATTTTCGATTCGATCAAAAAGTGCGTTTTGTCTAGGGGGGCTGAATGAGATAAGGAAGCAGCACGGGAGGGGTGATATTGACATAAACGTGACAGAACATACAAATCTGAAGCTTTTCTGAAGTCATGCTAATGTTTGACGTCCTAAAAACACCCTTCCGTGCCTACTGAGTTACGAGCTAGACCTATAAGCTCGATTCACACATATCAGTGAAGTCACAGTTCAGGCTCAGTACCGTCACAGTGCGAAATATTCTTTCATACAGTTTCTATGAACGCATTCTCACTTGTCAGTGTCAGTGACGTACAGTGCTCTCAGTGTCAGTGCCGACACCGGCAATATAGTTGACCCACGCTGAACTGTCCCACCAAACTCAATGACAGGGGGGCGCTACCATCGTTCAACTATATGGTTTCCAACATGGCAAAAATCGGAACCTGCGTTCCGGTATTGATATTGGCGCCCCACTGTCAATGTCATGCATAGGACGGTTCAGTATTTTGGAACTATACGGACGTATTCGTTGGCGACGATATTTTTTGTCGGACAGTGATGCGTCCGTGACGCCGCCGCGGAATCAAAAACAAAATAACTTACTTCATAGTTTCTGAACAAGAATATTGAAACAGCTCTATGACATTTTAAAATGTTCAAAATATTTCACCGACGCAACACTGTAGCACTGATACTGAACTGAGCGGACACTGTGACGGAACTATGGCTTCACTGATAATGTGTGGAATCGAGCTATAAGCTCCAAACTGGACTAGTCACAGACTTTAATTTATTTTTTTTATACTTGAGACTAAATTCATACTTGATTATCATTTCATAATACGGGCTTAAATCCTGCATTAAATGCTTTTATGATATAGAAATGCGTAACATGTCCATTAAATATCAAAATGCTCCGATAACTTTGAATTTTCAAAAGGCACTCACAAGTTTATTGAGCAAAACAAAATAGAATCTTTTAAATGCATTTTTTAAAACAGTGGTTCTTACAGAAAAGTTGTTGCATACTTTTACAATAGCATCATCAACTCACAACACATAATAATATAACCAGCACAAGTTTCACGTGATAATGACTATCAAATTATAAAATAAACGACTATAGTCTGGTCTGTGAGCATGTAGAATTTTGTCCAATGACCCCAAGCTACCCATCCTTATCGCTCGCGTGTAATTATGTTGCTGTCGCGCTCGCACACTCACTGCGGGCGCCCGTCGCACAGTCGCAACGGCAATATAATTACGCGCGAGCGATAAGGATGGGTAGCTTGGGGTCATTGGACAAAATTCTACGTGCTCACGGACCAGGCTTTATAACACAGACCTGTCTCATCTGTGCACAGACCTTATTTACAAGTAGTACCCCATAGAGTGCGCCCGCGCATTCTTGTAGTACTCAAAGTACTCAGCTGGAGAGTTGGAGTGTTTTTTGACTACGTCATCCAGCTGCATTTGGTCGCCCCAATCCGCCTGGAAAGAGTACAAATACTAAGTACCTGACCCAAAATTAAATATTGACATTACTAAGGGCCCGGAGTTCCTTTCGGATCAGAAATGAGGGGACCCGCAAAAAATTGCTAAAATCAAGTGGCAGTAGGCGGGGCACATAGCTCGTAGAGATGATGGCCGTTGGAGCAGAAACGTTCTTGAGTGGCGACCACGGGCCGGAAGGCTTAGTGTAGGCAGGCCCCTCCCCCCTAGGTGGACCAACGATTTGGCGAAGGTCGCGGGAAGAGCCTGGATGCGGGCACCGCAGGACTGTTCGTTATGGGAACCCTGGGAGGCTTTTGTCCAGCAGTGGACGTCATTTTTTTTTTTTTTTTTTTTTTTTTTAAAGATTTTTAGTAATTTGTTATTACACAAATTACTAATATTCCCGTTAGCCCCTCGTACTAAGCTAAATATGCTTGTGTCACGAGTGAGCTCACCACAATAGTCGAGCGGCGGCGGGGACCGAACCCGCGTTCCCCGGATCACGAGTCGGCCAGTCCGACCCCTTCACCGTTCGGAAAATTTGGCTGAAACGATTTGTGTGCGTTTGTGTGCTGTGCCCCTTAGTGTAATCATCATCATGAACCATCATTTCAGCCACAGGACGTCCACTGCTGAACATAGGACTCCCCCAATGATTCCCTTTATCGCGAGAGTTTAGGTAGAGTTGAGGAAGTGTTTATAAAGAGATAAGTAGGAGTATTCAATGTTTAAATAAAGTGATCACAAACGACTCACAAAGTTAGGGAACAGCGACCGTTTCTCGTCGAACTTGGCCTCGTTGACGCACCGTAGCAGGTACAGGCGTTCTACCCACGGCCAGATCATGTAATCCAGCATGCCTGGCTTGTTGCCGCCGAAGTAGTTCGTGCCTGAGGAAGAGAGAAAGAAAGAAAAATAAATACCTATAAATGGATATTTTTACATTGCACCATCTAGTCCCAAAGTAAGCAAAGCTTGTGCTATGGCCTATGGTTACCAGATAACGGATATATAAACATACTTAAGCTGGATCTGCAGCGCGTTTTGCCCTACACTATAAAAAAAAAATGTCAACATTCAACAAAATTGTTTACACAAAACATTATTTCGTTATCAAAGATTTTGCTTTCCATGGCCCCGGCCGGCCGGTGGAAAACACAAATAGGTACGTACTTAGTGAGTGAAACAATGTTTTGTGTAGACCATTTTGTATAGGGCAAAACACGCACTGGAGACCCAGCCCCCCTAGACAAAACGCACTTTTTGATCGAATCGAAAATCGAATCCGTCAAAACTCCATACAAAAAAGGGGCTTTTCGACCACTTATCGACTGGTTTGCGATTATAATTTGCACTTTGTCTAGACCCACTGCTTTACCTAAACAGAACTCATTAAGCAGAAAAAAAATACAAAATCTTTTCAAGGGTGCATAAATTATCATACCTCTTAACGCCAGTTCCTTCTCGAATATGTCCAAAGTCTGCACGATCTGTTCGCTGCCGAACGCGAAGTTTGTGTCGAAGCACTCCAAGCTGCCTTTGATTAGCTGGAACATTTAAAAAAACCGTTTTTTTGCGTTTTGTTTCTGCAAGTTGCACTAAGACTTAGAAAAAAGCGCGGGAAAAACTAAAGCTGGGTTGCACCATCTTACCTTAACTTTGACAAACGTCAAAAATCTGTCAAACTCCATACAAAAAACACTGCGTAACGTTATAGTTACAGTCAAAGTTTGGTCACTTTAGGTGGTACAACTCAGCCTACTTAGAATTATAACTGTGGGGTAATCCTTGAAACTTTTGAAAATTTAACTTTTTAAATTACAATGGTAATTAATGCACGATAATTTACTTTGTTGCGCCATCATGACAAGTTCATGCGGGTAGATGTTAGATGTCAGAGCTATTTATTGCTTTTCAGGTAATTTTTGCGTCTCTTTCTGAGTTATTCTATAACTTAACAACAAAATTAAATGGATCTATTTTGTGTGAAATAAACGTACCTATTTGAATTTAATTCTATTGTTGCTGAAACGCACAGAAAAATTCCATAATATTAATTATAATTAACTACAAAATTGATTAAAAACCTAATTTAGGCATCTGTTGGGCACCTTTTGGTTGGTTTGAAATCGTGAATAAAAGCTATAGTATGGTCTGCGAGCACTTAGAATTTTGTTGAATGACCCCAAGCTACACATCCAAGGATGGGTAGCTTGGGGTCATGGGGCTGACCGGGCTTTAGCACATTCATTAAAAAATATACAAAAAAGAGATTTCTACCTCATTAAACCTCTCAATCAGCAACCGGTCCTGCGCCTTTACGTACGGATCCCTGGAATGGAGTGGGTTCCGCACGTATTTCTCGTCTAGGTAGTCGCAGATGACCACGCTCTCGAACAGGTATTTGTCGCCGTGGTCTGTGGGAATCTCGAGGACTGGGATTTTTACTGAAAATAATGAAAAAATCTCATTAAAAATGTTCTAAAAGATGCTGTAGTAAGGGAACGTGCGATGGAAGTAGGACCTTTAGATAGGTAAGTGATTCGGGGCGTGTAAAGCGCTTTTTAAAAGCCTGCTTGCAAAAAATAAATTATTTTTTCTGTACTTTGCGAGACTCATCTAGTAATCCAGTGGCTGATAAGATAGACAGGTCAGAACTTTAGTCAGAATGACCAGGACAGAAACACGTTGTAAGTATTGTTTAGTTTTAGCTTAATTTAAGAGTCAATCATCCTAAATACTAATATTATAAATCCGAAAGTTTGTATGGATGTCTGGATGTTTGTTACTCTTTCATGCAAAAACTACTAAACGGATTTTTAAGAAACTTCACAGTATCATTGTTTATAACCCAGATTAACATAAATAGGCTATAATTTATGCCGATCTGTGACACTAAATTTCACGCGGGTGAAGCCGCGGGTAAAAGCTAGTCAGTCATAAAAGTAAGTAAGAATTTGTTTCTTTTTGCAAGCTAAGCTTATGCTTTGTGGGCCAGTGCTAAGAAGAAGTAGCGTCAGAAATTCAGTCATTCTTTTTAGTATTTTTTTTATCTATTACAGCTAGTTCTCTATCACTGACATCTAGGGTTCTTGATCCTGAACCATTCCGGCAGCCGCAGAGGGTCCAGCCTGTAGACCTCGTATTTGACCTTCTTAGCTTCCAGGATCAGAAGCACCCGGTGACCGTAGGGGTTCATATCTACATGGTATAACCTCAGCTTGTCGGACAGAGCTGGTGGTGGTAGTGCACCTGGAAATGGAAAAATTAGGAGTCGTCATTATCATTTTAGCCACACGTCCACTGCTGGATATGTAATAGGTATTTAATGATTTCCAAATTGGCCAGTTGGTAGGAGTCTGCTTCCAGCGCCTTCCTGCTGTTTTCATGATGTCGTCGGTCCATCTTGTGGGTGGGTCCCATTAATAAGTACTTACTACCTATTAGATAGGTTTAATTAAAAAATAATCATTATGAAAATAAGTGCCTAAAATTTTGACACAGGTAAAAACAGTCGTTTCACATCCACTGCAGCTGGACAAAGGCCTCCCCCAAGGAGTTTTTTGAGCGCTTTCCACAACATCATTTCACTAGATCGTAGAATCGAAATAATAAAATTTCTTTTTTTCAATCCTACGCCTTGACACAACGTCTACCGGGTCAGCTATTTGGAAATAAAAATACATAACTGACTCAACCAAGCGTCACAAAAGGTCAATGCTCACCAGTAGGTAGGTATTGGCTTATCACATAATGATGTCATTGATAAATAATTCTGTCACGAAGTTAAATGACGATACAATGGCTCTCTTGAGGATTTATTTAACTGTACGCCTTAACAGGTTTTCCAGTAGCATAAGACATTCACTATGACTTTAATGCTCGGTTTTATTCAGAGGTTCCGGGTTCGATTCCCATACCACACATTGCACATTGGTGGCTGTATTGTACCACCATAGTGTCAACCTAATTTGATAATTAATTTAAAAAATATAATATTTTTATGCTAGGTGGTATCAAATAAACCTGTCTCTTTCTTTCAAATTGCCTCAAAACCTTAATTCAGTTTTTTATCAGCAGCAGCTTTACGCTGCTAGGTTTTATCTGGCATTTAGGAAGTAGGATAAACGTTGAAAGCATCTACTATATAAATAACGCCCGTATTCACAAACGATGCTTGCAAAAGTTGCAAATCGAACGCACAGCGTTGAATAGAGCTCGATGATTGGTTCGTGTGTGACCCTATGCGTCCACGCGCACTGTGAGACCTCATAGTAATATTTCTGAATACGGTAAGTCTTGCTTTTAAGCAGGTAAGGAAGCAGATGTTGACAATGTCACATCTAGGTAGGTACCTATATGTATAAAAACATGTTATTCTGTTGTTTGTTACAATTGCTATGTTGCAATAAAATATATTTATAGTCTGACAGATGTTCTTTAGGCTGTAGGTAGGTAGGGTACATTAATCGTCATGTAATACTCCAGCCAGACCAGTGGCGGATTAAGAGTATCCGAGGCCTTAAGCACAGAGCCTGTGTAGGCCCTCTATTGCTTAAATGGAAATGGAAGGAATGGAATGGAAGGTAGAAAGTATAAAATGAAAGTTCATCAAAATAGGAAGTGTAGTAGGTAAAATTTAAAACTCAAAACATTATTTTGCTTGCCTTAATCAGAGCAAACTCCGAGATTACATCGTCGAAATTTATCTGACGAAGTATGTCTGCCTCAATACACATTAATGCTAAAGAATTAAGCTTGTCTGGACGGATTTTTGTTCTTTGCGGGTTTTTTAACCTTTTTAGTTTTGAGAAGGATCGTTCAGCAGAGCAGTTAGTAATCATTAAGCTGTGAAAGAGTCTAAACGCAACCACAATGATAGTCTTACACTAGCACACTTCTTTTGTTTCTCTTCTTTTTTCACATCGCATGTTTATTTTAATATATACATTTATAAATATATACACATATAAATACACAATTATTATCCTATCACAACATTTGCTATGATCGTTTGAACAAAGGCCTGCCACAACATTATTCTCCGCTACAGGTAGAGACAATTTTAATTTTAACTAAAATACTTATTTTACTTCGAAATCTTTTGTTTTTATTTGAAATCTAACTTGTCTTTATCAAAATTACAAATCTAGAGCCATTTTCAGTTTCGTTGTTAACGAAGCGTTGAATGGCGCGCCCGGAGAGGCTTAGTTCAAACGATCATTGCAAACGTTGTGATAGGGATAGAGACATGCGATTTTTGGTTTTACGAAGGTAATACGATAGAAAATAATACAAAGTAATAAAAACCATCGGTTATAGGGGCATTTTTGAGAAATTTATCAAATAACCAAAAAAACACGAATTTAAAAGCAGATTTTTTTCAAAAAGTATCATTTTTTATTATTTGTTGGCCTTTTTTGTGTATTTTATGTATTTTTTTAGTATTGCCTGTTATTTAGCATTATTACTGTTTTTATTTTATCAGGATATACCTCTTAGTTTAAAAGTTATTATGTTTTCTTTACAATAAGTAATTGGAAGTAAAAAAAAATCTATAAAAAATTTTAAAAAAATCTCAAAAAATTTTTGACCTCTTTTTTGTCGATAAAAATAGGTCTAGTTTCATCTATTTTCATATGTACACTTTAACGTGACTCACACTGTATTTATATTTAAACGGCCTTGTTGATATGCAGTTTAGGTTAGCGTCCGTGACTTCCACTCGGCATGGGGCTCACTGAAAACCAGCGTCGTGGCCTTCCCCACCGTGGGCCACGGCATATGCTGAGTGGAGTCCCATTGCGATGGGCATCGCTGTTGCGACAGGATAGCACTGCTCAGTTCACTTTTTATTTCCTTGTAATATTTACGTGCCATTTCTGTCTTTTTTTCTGTATACATTCTCTGTCATGTATAAGGTCTCAAGTTTAGCGGGCATCGGGGCGGGAGCGGCGGCGGCGCGGGAGCGGCAGGATCTTATGCGTAAAATCAAATAGACCGGTTCTCGAAAACAGCGGCGCGGGAGCGGGCAACGAGCGGGCAGCGCACTCCTTCTTTTGCCCTCAATAGATCGAGCGTTAGGAATAAATTTGAATCGAAATAAAATTGTCGCCGTTGTTCAGACATTTCGTTTGCGAATAAAAACAAATATCTCGACAACACAACCCCGAACACAACACTTCGCCGCTAAAGCGCCGCGCGAGCTGCCTGCTTGTTTCGAGAACGGGTCTGCGTTGCCCGCCCCGCTCCCGCTCCGCTGCCCGCTAAACTCGAGGCTGAGGCCTAAATGATGTTCATCGTAAAAAATGTTTCTTTCTTTCTTTCTTTTTTTATATTATATATTTGGGAAAACGCACTTTACTTTATCTACACTAATATTATAAAGAGGAAAACTTTGTTTGTTTGGTTGTAATGAATAGGCTCAAAAACTACTGAACCGTTTTTAAAAATTCTTTCACCATTTGAAAGCTACATTACTCACGAGTAACATAGGCTAGATCTCGATAAAATGTAGGTACTTATGAAATGAAACGCCAGCAGAGGATGGAGGCCCCTGGAGAACAGGGGCCCCAAGCACGTGCTTGTAGTGCTTATACGTTAATCCGCCACTGAGCCAGACGGACGATTACGAAAACGTAAACAAACTACGCCGCCGCTACGCCACCATTTTCGTTTCGGGTCAAGGATGCGACAACATTTATATTGCAACATACAACGCTGGTTTTATAAGCGCATCATGTTCATATTGCACTTCAGAAGCAGTGTTGTAATGCAATAACTAAACGCTTCAAAATTTGGCGCGGTTGACCTCAATTCATGAACCTACGCTACCGGTGGATGTTTAATTTCGAGATTTAGGTCAATTTGATGATTAGAATGATATTTTCGTATTTTTTTATCTAGTCTACTTAGCTGCTCTGTCTGTATGAATGGTGAAAATAGACTATAGACCTACATAAATAAAACCATTGCTCATCTACTTCAAAAAAATTATGATGATGATATTATATTTTTATGATATTTTGAAAGCATAGGTCAAAGAATTACCTTTAAAATCAATGTTTTTCGTGAACCCAATTAAAAAAAAAGTTTTTATTTCAGAAAAAAAAATTTTTGTGGCATAAATAATTGCTGTTTTCGAATCGGTCGATCATTAATTTATTTTGAAGGTATTTTAATATTTTTAGGAATCAATAATTTGAAATAACAAAACGTTTAAAATGACGTCATCGTAAACAGCTGTTCAATGTTTTTATTGAATTTTACATGACTTTCTAAAAAAGTAATTGATTAATTTTTTTTTTAAACTTGAAAACTGTTGTTTAACAACCAATTAAATAAAAGAAAATAAAATGTTCACTAATAATTTTACAGCGGTGTGTGCGATCAATTAAAATCGCCGATAAAACTAACTTTTATTGAAAAAGCGTAGGTTTATTACCATGACAACATTTTTATCACGCTAAAATCATAGCCGGATTAGAAACCGAATAGACAATTTTTTTGACGAAAATTGTCATTACTCAGCCAAGCAAAACAAAACATTTATTTATTAACTACTTACCGGCCGTCCTGTGTTCGTAGTAAGTCATGATTTTCTTTACAAATGCACTAAATACCAAATATCACAGAGGCAGTGTTTATTCTGCTAAAACCAACGTAGAAATAGAATAACGTCACTTTTAAAATTATTCTACGAGCGGCATGACATCATACCAAACGACCCGATTACACGCAATGCTGCTGAATCAATACGACCAAAATACTCCGGGTTAGCGCACGGCAGACGAAGCCTATTTGATTCGTTAGCATTATATCACAAGGTCACGATTTTACTATTCAGGTCATTACGTTTTTTTGGAAATACCTATCTTCACTGGTAAAATAAATTAGAAATTTAACAACAATTTTATGTATGAATTGAAAGTAATGTTTTAAAGTACAAGTTGAAGTACTAGAAACTAGAAGAATGTAAAGGGTTAATTTATGAGAATATTGGATGAATTAAAAGTAATGAAAACAAGACTTCTTAGTCTTTTGTTTCTTTTTTGTTATTATTATTATTTAAAAAATAAGAACGTAAAAAAATAAGCAATAAAATGATGAAACAAAACGCAATCGTGTGTTGCCATAACACATTTTTTGAACAGATTGAGTAACTTCTTTTAAGTTAAAACACATTTAGCTTGACATTATTAGTAATTTTTTGTCAGACTTAAGATTCAGAATGTTGATAATTATAATCTTTTTAAATAAGTTTTTTTATAGTTATTATTTCGTATCTTCTATCGAGGTAATATTAATGGACAATTTCGGGATTTATAAGATCACCGGATATTGAGTGCTTGGCTAAATTGTGTTCATATAATATTCATAACATTTCGTTCGCCGTTCCTTTCAGCCAAATGACGTCTACTGTACTTTTCTGTGTACTATTTCGTGTACAGTATGTGGCAACATTATTAAAAACTACAAAAAAAGCTTGACAATTCTTGATCTGTCAGGTGTACAAAATTAATTACCTGTAAAAAATAATTAAAATAAGCAAAAGTAGTCTAAAACGATGCTTTACAATAACTTAATGTAGTGTAGTGCTATGTAGTGTTAAAAATAACGTCAATTAACCTAAAAGTAAGAAAGTGTATTTTGATAGTAAACAATGTGAGAGTCTTCTAACCAAACAAAGATTTGTGTTTTTTTTGTATTGTGAATGAAACCCATTGTGTCCGATGTACTGTTAGCTTATTACGTTATTTGAGAATTATTCTAAGGTCAAAATTACCAAAATAAGTTAGATCTGATGATGTTTTGCAAGTAGTTTGATATATCATTAAAAACATTAATGAACAGTTAATTCACCTCTATCTTCTTTAGAAAGAACAATTAATTTACAACAATCAAAAACTACACAAATAATGTAATATTTTTGTCATGGCTCTGAAAAAAAGAACACAATGTTTATTTATTAGGAAAAACTAAAAACTTATTCAACTCCTTCAACATTGTATATTATTTATTTCAGAAATGTCCGAAACTGCAGGTGCAGAGACGAAAGAAGTACCAGGTACGTTGGAATCGAACGACCCAGGCGTGGAAGAGGTGGTGATAAAATGTGACGTCATTGAGATCTCCGATGATGACGAGGAACCAAAGCCCAAGAGGTTGGTAAAATTCAAAGTAAGAGAACAATTTAACTATCATAGACGTAAGTTGGTTGTTGTCTCTATTATTTTACACCTATATTTACAATAAACATTACTACCCCCACTAAGGTAAAAGCTATGTATAATATGTATTAGAAAAAAGTAGTAGTATATTTCGTCCATTTGCGACGACAGTGTGACTTCTTCAATTAGATTAACATAGAAGATGTCACATTGTCGTCGCAAATGGACGATTAGTTAAGCTAAAGTCCGGTCGCCGAACAGATAGAATTTCGTCCAATGACCCCAAGTTACCCATCCTTCACTCGCTTGCAATTAATAATTATAAAATCATATTTATTTCTCTCACATACAAAAACGAAATTACATTATTATATTGCCGTCACGCTTGCACGCTCACTGCGGCCGCCCGTCGCACAGTCGCGACAGCATTATAGTTACGCGCGAGCGTAAGGATGGGTAGCTTGGGGTCATTGGACGAAATTCTATCTACTCGGCGACCGGACTTTAGCACCCATAATACAAGCATAATAGGTGCTTACTTTGGGGCTAGATGGTGCTGTGTGAAATTGTCCAAAGATGTTTATCCCAACTAATATTATAAATGCGAAAGTAACTCTGTCTGTCTGTCTGTCTGTCTGTCTGTTAGTCTGTTACGCTTTCCCGCTTAAACCTCGCAACCGATTTTGATGAAATTTGGCATAGAGATAGTTTGAGTCCCGGGAAAGAACATAGGATAGTTTTTATCCCGGTTTTTGAAACAGGGACGCGCGCGATAAAGTTTTTCTGTGACAGACAAAATTCCACGCGGGCGAAGCCGCGGGCGGAAAGCTAGTTTAATTATAAAAGCCTCCCACCATTTTCTTCCTTTCTCTATTACTGGCTATGTGTGTCCAATTTTGTCCCTGCCTTGTTTGTCATGTCATCAGTCCATATTTTCTTCGGCTGTTCTACGTTTCTTATCTCTGTTAATTGAACTGGGCAACCATTGCTGGGCAAAGGCCTCCCCTAAGGCCTCAGCCTCGAGTTTAGCGGGCAGCGAGGCGGGAGCGGCGGCGGCACGGGAGCGGCAGGATCTTATGCGTAAAATAAAATAGACCGGTTCTCGAAAACAGCGGCGCGGGAGCGGGCAGCGGCGCGGGAGCGGGCAACGAGCGGGCAGCGCACTCCTTCTTTTGCCCACAATAAATCGAGCGTTAGGAATAAATCTCGAAATAAAATTGTCGCCGCTGTTCAGACATTTCGTTTGCGAATAAAAACAAATATCTCGACAACACAACCCCGAACACAACACTTCGCCGCTAAAGCGCCGCGCGAGCTGCCCGCTTGTTTCGAGAACGGGTCTGCGTTGCCCGCCCCGCTCCCGCGCCGCCGCCGCTCCCGCCCCGCTGCCCGCTAAACTCGAGGCTGAGGCCTAAGGATTTCCACAACGACCGGTCCGACACCGCCTGCATCCAGGCACCTCCCGCGACCTACACCTCAATAACTTTTCTGCCCCATCGGTCATAAATTCTGCGAGCTATGTGCCCCGCCTACTGCCACTTGATTCAATGTCGGTCACTTTGGTTAAAACTCATTTATTTCTGTAAGTAGGCTTTAAAAAAGCACTTTTACATGTCCCGGTATTAAGGGTCCCAGGGTTCTCCTGCGGATCTCCTCATTTCCGATTCGATCACGCAGGGAAACTCCGCCCTTGTTATATAACATATCTTTATCCACAGGCGTCGCAGAAAGAAACCCCCATCCGATCAGCGGCACCCGTGCGAAGTCTGCGAGAAAACCTTCCAAACAGGTTACGAGCTGAAGAAACACGCTCGCACGCACACAGGCGAGCGTCCGTATATGTGCACTACTTGCGGCAAGACTTACACACAGCTGGGGCACTTGAGCATACACCAGTTAGCGCATAAAGGTTCGTATTACCATGACGATATCGAAAATCTAGTCAAACCTTATACATAGTATTTACACACGCACACACGCACACACATACACACACACACACACACACACACACACACACACACACACACACACACACACACACACACACACACACACACACACACACACACACACACACACACACACACACACACACACACACACACACACACACACACACACACACACACACACACACACACACACACACACACACACACACACACACACACACACACACACACACACACACACACACACACACACACACACACACACACACACACACACACACACACACACACACACACACACACACACACACACACACACACACACACACACACACACACACACACACACACACACACACACACACACACACACACACACACACACACACACACACACACACACACACACACACACACACACACACACACACACACACACACACACACACACACACACACACACACACACACACACACACACACACACACACACACACACACACACACACACACACACACACACACACACACACACACACACACACACACACACACACACACACACACACACACACACACACACACACACACACACACACTGACACACACTGACACGCGGTACAATAGAGATTAGAATAAGTTCTACTTAAATATTGATAACACAAGAGCGGTGTTTCCTAACACAAGCAACTGTATGCTTAAAAGGAAACTCCAAACCCTGTATGTTATTTAATGTAATTTTGTAATGAAATAAAATATTTTGTATTTTGTATTTTGTATAGCCATAAGGCTCAATGTTGAACAGATAATAAGACCAGGGGACAATAAGACACGACCAGGGGAATCTAAAAGATTAGGGGACACTAGGAGAAGAGATTAGGGGACAATATAAAGCAGCCAGGGGACACTTAAGCGACCAGGGGACACTACAAAGCGATTAAAGGACGCTATAAAGCGACTAGAGGACACTTAAGCAACCAGGGGATTCTTAAGCGACCAGGGGACACTTTAAAGCGGCGAAGGAGAAACTATAAAATGACCAGGGGACACTTAACTAACCAGGGGATACTATACAGCGACTAGGGGACAACAGCTACCATATAAAGGTCCGTATTCCCATAGCCATAAGGCTCAGAGCTGAAGAAACATGCTCGCACGCACACAGGCGAGCGTCCGTATATGTGCACTACTTGCGGCAAGACTTACACACAGCTGGGGCACCTTAGTATACACCAGCTCGCGCATAAAGGTTCGTATTGCCATAGCTATAAAGCTCAATGTTGAACAGATTAGAATAAGACCAGGGGACAATAAGAGAAGACCAGGGGAATCTAAAAGATCAGGGGACACTAGGAGAAGAGATCAGGGGACACTATAAGCGACCAGAGGACACTAAGAAACGACCGAGGGGACAATAGGAGACGACTAGGGGAATCTAAAAGATTATGGAACAACTAGAACACGTCTAGGGGACACTAAGAGATCAGGGGACACACAAGAGACCAGCTACCATATGAAGGTTCTTACTCCTTTAGCCATAAGGCACATGGGCCAGAAAACTACGTATTTCCGATAGAGTAGCATACGATTCCTGTGGACGACTACAGGGTCCATTCTTCGTTCATTCGTTGGTTTCAGCCAAATGACGTCCACTGCTGGACAAAGACCTCCCCCAAGGACTTCCACAACGATCGGTCTTGCACCGCCCGCATCCAGGCGCCTCCCGCGACCCTCCCAGATCGTCAGTCCACCTAGTCTGAGGCGTTAGGCACTACGTCTTTTGACCCGTGGTCGCCACTCGAGTAATTTTCTGCCCCAGCGGCTATCAGCTCTACGAGTAGCATTGATGATGATAAAAACTCATAAAACTCATTTATTTCTGCAAATAGGCTTTGAAAAAGCACTCTTACACGTCCCAGTATTAACCCTACCACTGCTTCGGTACAATAAATGGGCCAGTTAGTGCTGAAATGAAGCAGCACAAGAAACTCAGTCACATGATTATAAAAACCATGTCTTTATTTGTTGCAGGTATAAAAAACTTCAACTGCGTTGAATGCGGATCATCGTTCTATAGGAAAGCAGATCTGGACCGCCATGAAAAGGCCCATAAGGGCATCAAACCGCACACCTGCGAGATTTGCTCGAAAAGTTTCACACAGAAGAACAATTTGGTTATGCATGTAAAAATGCACATAGGAGACCGTAGGTACGAATGTGAGGTATGCAAAAAACGTTTTATGACGCGGAGCAAGCTGGTTTTGCATTTTAAAAGGCATGAAAAGGATAAAAAAGCGAAGACCGAGATGATAGGGCATCTGATCGATTGAGATTTTATGCGTAGTGTCACATTTGTTTATTGTTTCAAAAAGGAAGCTAGCTAAAGTCCGGTCGCCGAGCAGAGAGTTTCGTACAATGACCCCGAGCTACCCATCCTTATTACTCGCGCGATATTGTATAGCTGTCGCGCTCGCACATTCACTACGGACGCCCGTCGCACAGTCGCGATAGCAATAAAATTACGCGCGAGCGATAAGGGGTCATTGCACGAAATTCTATCTACTCGGCGACCGGAATTTAACCGTCTTACAACTCGATCGAGCTAACTGCGCATCTAGTTGGAATTTTCCTACACAATGTATAGGTATTGTAAATGAAATGAATATAATAATTCGTTCGTTTCAGCCAAATGTATATTGTAAATGGAATTAATCAATGAATGAATGAAATTAATGAACGAACGAACGACTCTCCCTCCTCCTTACCCGCACACCAGAACGTCAATATGACGTCACGGCTGCTTGGTACGCAGTTAACTGGACCGGGTTGTACTTAAGTCTGTCTCCATAACAACAATGTTAACAGCATTGTTGTTTCAGCAGTTAGAGGTAAGATAGCCAGTTCCTCTGTAGTTGAGGATTCCGGGTGAAGCTCGCTTCCACTTTCAGCCTGATCGTCACTTTCCATCAGGTGAGATACAGGCCAAGAGCTTCCTCGTTGTGGACACTGAAAAGTGACTATCGCCCCTATTCACAAACATTACTATGAGGTCTCACAGTGCGCGTCGTCGCACAGGGTCACACACGAACCAATCATAGAGCTCTATTAAACGTTGTGCGTTGGATTGCTGCTTCACTTAAGCAAGCATCGTTTGTGAATACGGGCGTATAACCATGAATCCTCAACCACAGAGGAACTGGCTATCTTACCTCTCAACTGCCGGAACACAACGATGCTGTTAACATTGTTACGGCGACAGACTTAGGTAAGATGGTGGTAGCTAGCCAGGCGGACTTAGAACAAGCCCTTAACAAAATGTTAAACTCTTTAAGGTCGCACAGTTAGCCAGGCAGACATAGAACAAGCCCTAAATAAAATATGTATTTTTAATTTATTAAGGTCGTAGCTATTGATGTGCCGTTCCCGAGAACGCTCTCCTCACTGAGAATATTCTCGGGAGCGCTCCCGGAAGCGTTCTCCTAAGTGAGAAAGGTTGAGAATCATGTTTATCAAATGGAAATAAACAAACTTTCTTAAGTAAAATAGTATTAAATTAAGTCGACAGTTAAGTGTATATTAAACAATACACTCTATTTGCAGAGAAAGGCTATATTCTCAGTGTTCCCGAGAATATTCTCGGGAACTTTCTCGGCAATATTCTCGGCAACTGTTCCTTTATTATATTTAATTTTTTTCGTCGTGAAATGTCGTTTTAATGATATGTAAGATGACAGAAATTTCTTTTTACATGCAATTAAATAATGTAACTGTCATTTTTTTCGTTTTTAACACGCTTTTATTAGGTCGTCGTGTATGTAACTAACTATGTAATGGAATCTTAGAATCTGAATTACATGCATTTCTAAGTCTTGTATCATCATGAAACTTTATGCAGATTAGATGACAATACAATATGTACCAGCTGGTCTGATTATGGGACTGGAAGGTGGCCAAAGGAACTCCTAAACGAAACGGTGGAATCACATCGAGTTTGGGTTCATTGGATTTGTCTTTTCGATATCTTTAAGTGCTAGATAATGTCCAGGGTCTTAATGATGGAGTCAGGAGGAAGCCATAGGAACTCCTAACCGAAACGGCGGAAACTCATCGAGTTTGGGTTCGTTGGATTTGTCTTTTCGAGCACTTTAATGCTAGATGATGTCCAGGGTCCTGATGATTCCTGTTAGTAATTAAAAGCGTGTTTTTAGTTTTTTAAACTATTCTTTACATTTGACATTAAGGGCATATTTCACAATCGTTTAGTAAGGGCCTGTTTCGCCACTTCTGGATAAGTTGTGGATAGCCTGTCTGACGGATCATTTGACACATGTTTATATAAAATACGTGCTAGCTAGATTGATCTTAGTCTGTACGAGATTAGAATGGTTCTCAAACAGCTGAAAAACAACAAGGCACCGTAATCACGGCTGAGCTTCTGAAAGCAGGTGGAACGCCGGTACTAAAGGCTTTTCAGAAGCTGTTTTCGATTCCGTCATCCTCAAGGGAATTACGCCTACTGCATGGCAAAGAAGTATGGTGATACTTCTCGTCAAAAAAGGCGACAAAACCTTGTTGAAGAGTTATAGACCCATTTCGCTTCTGAGCCATATCTACAAGCTGTTTTTGATAGTCATTACGAATTGTCACGCTAGCAGGCTTGACAACTTTCAGCCCCCCGAACAAGCCGGTTTCTGAAAAGGCTTTAGTACCATAGACCATAATAATATACGCTACGGCAGATTATACGGAAGATCAAGGAGTATAATCAGCCACTTTGCGTTTGTGAACTATGAGAAAGCCTTCGATTCGATTGAGACATGGGCACTATGGGCAGTGCTGCAGTCTCTCCAACTGTGCCAAATTGACTATCGATACATTGAAGTGTTGAAAGGCTTGTACAAACACGCCATAGTAACAGCCCGTTTCAAGATCAGGACCTGAAACCTATCCAGTTGCAGCGAGGGGTGAGACAGGGAGACGTCTTCACCACCGCCCTAGAAGATGTTTTCAAGCTTCTGGGCTGGAGCGGATTTAGCAGGAAGATCTAGGCACAATGCTCGATGGCCTCAATAGAGTCTCTCAACAAGTGGGTCTCAAAATGACCATGGACAAGATTTAAAAATCATGTCTAAAAACCGTGTTGCACCCACTCCTCTAAAAGTTGGAGACTCTACACTCGAAGTTGTTGACAACAATGTATACCTGGGACAAACAGTCCAGTTAGGTAGGTCCAACTTCGAAAAAAAAAGGTCAATCATCGAATCCAGCTCGGTTGGACAGCCTTCGGGAAGCTTCACGATATTTTCACGCGGCGTCTCCGTCGCGTCGCCGCTACGCTTTAAATCCGCTTTGAATCCGCTTGAAATCCGCCAGAGACATCCGCCTTAAAACTCGAGGCACACACATGTTCAAATACCGTAGCCGAGTCCAAAAGCTGCGGTACGCGTTCGCCACGAAAAGAGTGAGCCAGACAGCAATATTTCACTCACACGTTTCATGCCTTGTTTATGACGACTAGTCTTAACGCCCAGTTAATAAAACATCGAAGCATTACAAATAATACCACATATAAACAACAAAATTAAAATTAAAACTAACTGTATTCTGTCGAGAACACTGAGAATATTCCCGGGAGCGTTCTCGGTTCTCGAGAATATTCTCACTGGGAATATTGCCGGGAACGAGAACTTTCTCAGCGGCACATCTCTAGTCGTAGCACACTTATCAACCCGGAAAGGGATCGTAACCGTATCAACTTGAGGCGGTCAGTATTCTTTGTATGATACTCCATACTGCAACGCACACTTATCCGCACCGTAACGTAAACGCCTCGCCTCGCGGTTGACAGCGCGCGAAAGGCGATACGTTGTTGATCCCTTTCCGAGTTGATAAGTCTGCTATGACTTTTGGATACTCCAATTAAAAATTATAGGAAGTAAACTGTTTTTTAACGCCATGGTTGATTGACAGAGAAGGCATGTGGGCATTAAGTCCGCCAGTTGTACATCTGTGCAATAAAGTATAAAATAAAATTATAAGCAATAAATTTTACTAATAGAGAACTGTGTTTGCAAAGGTAGATGATGTTTTTAGAACGCAATTCTTGCCAGATTAAAAATAGAATATTTTTTATGCAATTTTATAAAATGTGACATACGTATAGGCTAGTATTTAGTACTTATTATGCAGGTGAATGAATTATGGCAACACTGTTGAATTATTATTTTTCTACATGGCAATAATCGGTATGTTTTAAGGTTATGAATGAATTTGTTTGTAAATTGGTACTATATGGAATTTAATAGTTTTCTATGTATTTAACCTGATTTAATTTTCGGTTTTCAGTAAATGGTCGAATCAGAAATGAGCATAGGTATTACGCTTAACTGAATGACGGTTAACACACTGCGCCGCGCTCCGCCGCGGAGCGCGTGAATTTCATATAAAAAATCCCGCGCGCAGACGCGCTGTCAGTGTGAAGTGCCGCGCGTGTTTTCTATACAAACTGAGGTACTTGCATACAATGATTAAATCTGTCGCCCCGCGCTCCGCGGCGGATCGCGGCGCAGTGTGATAACCGCCAATCAGTGCCTGGAAGTATGGAAGCGGCACGGGAGGGTGTTTTTCTTACGTCAAACGTCAGCAAGACTTCAGATGTGCTTCAGACTTGTATCAGGCCTGTTCATCTCCGCAAGTTTACATCGAAAACAAAACACGCACGATGGCCCACCTACAGGATACTATTCGATAAGGCCTCACAAACGAGCGAACATTGACTCACGCACGCGTATTCTTGTGTATGATGGAAGAAAATAAAGAAAATGGTGTACTAAATACTGTGAAGTATTTAACTGCCTAAATAATAATAAAAACACAGAATGTACTTTTTTAAGTTGCCTCAAGACACTGAGAGGTAAATAAGTAGTTAATATTATTCATGATGATTCTTGCTAAATCATGTATTTCCTCCGCCATTTTCCGCAGTTTGGCACCTTTTATTTTTTTTTATTTTTACCGAAGTCAGCCCTATAGCTTCGGCGCAGTGCCGATCACTGACGTTTGTCAACAAAATGGTGCTTGACTCTTTGAGACAGGCTAAATTACACCATATTGTTATTGACATTGAGCATACATTTTTTTAAATACCTTCGCGAAGTAAAACTTCTGTACGTAGTACTTATTATTATTCTGTGCTTGTATGCTCTGTCACGTCATGTCACCCCTCCCGTGCCGCTTCCATACCTCAGGACTGAGTTATGCCAGAGTAAATACAAATGAGTAGGTCATCTTCATAGAAACGCCCGAGCGCGGTTTGTATGTGAGCGCGCCAATACGTATGCGGCGCGCACGCACACACTGACAAAATTTAGCGTGGATTAGTGGTGAGGTCAGAGGTGAGCTGAATTTTGTCAGTGTGTGCGTGCGTATAATAGTGGCATCTTATTAAACTGTAATAGGTGCTATTTTCCAACAAAAAATGTGTAATATGACTTTACTATAAATACATAAAGTTTTTCACAATTAAACTTCTTTACTTGGATAAATTAAAACGGACTCCGTTTTAAATATTTTTATTCAACAAGCTGGTCACAGTCACGTGTCAAGAATAGGCTAGATGACAAAATTTCAATTATTCGTCCGTCAGACAGATAATTAGGGAATATTAGACTCATATTTTTTATTTTCTTTCATAATTAAATAATAACAGTGCT